CGCAACTGATTTATTTTTTTAAACATATATGTGTGAACAATATTTAGTGCCGCTTTTCGCTGTGATTTTCCAGCTTTATGTGTCCGAGACATTGACGCTTCATTGTCCTTGATTTGTCGACGGCCGCTAACATTGATCTCCCTCCTTTAGCCTCATTATTTTATTTTTTTCCCCATAAGAATGCAACAACATAAAAACTCGGCCACTATCTATTCATCCGGAGAGTATTTCCATAATAATCGTGACATTCCTCTTTACTGACATAACGCAATGCCGCGTGACATCACCGCCGAGGTCGGAGGTTGGGCCTCACTGCTCCGGAACCGGCCATGATGACAAACAGATGGCGCTGAGCGTGACCCCTAGGGGTCACATGTTGCCGCCAAGTGGAGCGGCGGTCTGATCTTGGGCTCTTTGCATTGCCTGGGGCATTTGCAGGCAAAAATCAGTGTGAAGCACGCCAGGCCACAAGCCAGGGCTATTTTTTTCTCTTTCCCTGGTTTCCTTTCTCTTGCTTTTATGTTCGCTGAACGCCTGGTTAGCACGCAACCGCTCACTTGCGTGGTCCTGGATCATCATCTGCTGCCGCTGTTGCTTGCTGTTGCTGCTTTCTGCTGCTGCAAGCCGGCTTGCGAGCTGCTGATGGGAGTAAAGTGGTGGCTTGAGCGGCAGGAAATGGCCAATCTCCACAACATGCCCTCCCCACACGCAACAGGAACCGCACGCCCATCACGGGGCATCTCGGCCGTGCGGAAGGTCATGCCGCACAAGCGCCAGATCTGAGCTGCCACGCTCTGGCTTTGGTTGAATTCTTATTTGATTCAGGATTAAACATTTTGCGCAAGGTTTCATACGCATCTCAACTTGGAGAGGTTGAGAGATGAGCTTGTTGTTGTCCTTGTCTTAATGCTGGGTAAGAAATTACTGTATATACTTTTTGTTGCTGAGACGTTGTTGTTGTTGTTGTTTTGAGTGAAAAAAGCTTTGGAAAATATTGTATTGATCATATATATAAAACCATCCACCATGATGAATCAAAGCCTCCCCAATGCACTGCCATCTTTCACGATCCTGCGATATAATACAAACAAAAATAACACCTTAAAATAAAAAAAAATCCCTCTCAGGAGCCAAAAATATATATCGAATGATAAATAAAATATGCATTAAGGGTGCACAAAACGAGAAAGGAATAAACCAACACGTGTACTAATTTCAAATATTTATCCTTATATTTCAAATTTCAAACCCAGCATGGGTATATGTACATCACATTTTGTCGATCCACTGCTGGATGAGGGCCTTCCCTTGCTGCTGGGCTCATGTGAGTTGTCCCGTGCAGCATGCAGCCTAAAGTGCCCAACTAAATGTGTATGTTCTGACCCGCCCTTACTAACATTCTGTGCTGTTCTGACTCGCCCTCATTGGACGTCTGTGAAAAAAGAGTTTTACAGCTCATCGGATTACCCCAGCATATATATATAAACAAAATTAAGATTCTGATTGGCACACGCGCCGCTCCGTGATCTCCCAAGTTCGCCGCACGCCGCACACGCAGCGTCGACTCACGAGAGCTGTGCAATAGCTGCCGCGCGCCGGTGGGAACAAGGCAGTTCAATATCAGTGTCAGATTAACAAAAAAAAACCACTCGCGCTGATCTTTATCGCGATGCCACGAGACCCTGGGGCTTCCCTGGCCGGGCTCTCATCAGCTGGAACCGGCCTGGCTCCACCGAGGTCCCAGTCTTCGCGACGCGCAAAAAGGAACGGCGCCCTTCTGATCACCCATCCGTCCTGCGCCCACGTGGGATAAACACTGGACCCCTTATGCTTTAGACTTCCCCCCCCCCTCCGTCTCCCTGGCTATTTGGATTATTGCCTGAGATGTGGCGATATTGTACCTGCGTTGCTGCTTAAGATTGTCGTACCACAGTGGCACATTGCGAGTTTAATAGCGTGTAGCATGAGTATTTGTTTTCACTTTTACTTACCACGGCATATGCTGAGATTTGTTGTCCCTCCCCCGCACCTCCGATTAGCATGGTTGGCTACGTACGGTGGGAAAGAAGTTCAACATACGTCCATGCATACACATTTCCGATGGAGCATGGGCACAGTGGTTAGCGCACCACGCTCTGAACCTGGCATCCTCCTGTGCTTGATTTCCGACCGCGAGCTAACATCAGTGCCAAGTGATATCTGAATCGGCCAACACCCACGAGCCCTTCTCCAAACCCACACCAACCAGGGTGGTGAAGTATGGTCAAACGACCCCCATGACCGAAACGGTGCAGGGAGACCTTCGTGCAAATGTCAAGATGCAGCCGAGGAATCCCTTGCTCGCCCCATTGCAGGCTGAAGGGCCTCCACCTGGAGGAAGCTCTCGAGAAGAGGGTATTTTTGGCCTTCTCTTCCACATTGACCGTACAAAATGAGCTGCAATAACAACTACAACAACAAAAAATGCATACGGAAAGGTTACTCGTCACCACCTCTGCGTTGTATTTATTTTGATTTCCACGCCGCCCCCGCCTCCCGCCGCTGTTGGCCAAAGGTACATTCTTCGACGCCTTTGAAGAGTTGCTCAGATTTGTTGCGAAGATTTCGTTCGGTGCCACGGCGGGGCTCGCCGGGGGAGGGACATCGCCGCCCCCCGCGTGCTATGACCACCTTCGCGCGACGCCGCTTCGGGCACAGCAACCAGGGACACAGCTGGAGCAGTTCGCGTCAGCCCCGTGGGGCGGGTGTGGTGGGGGGACAGGTGGGGCAGGTGTCTGTCCAGAACACACACACACAAAAAATACACCCTCCCAGTCCGGCAGGAACCCACCGATTCTGCGCCGCCGTTGTGGAGACGACTCGAACTTTTATTATTATTATTTTATTTTTGTCATGGAGCAACGAACATTATCGCTCCCCCCCGCTCTCCATCCCTTCGCCCGCCCACCACCACCACCACAGCCTCTCGCCGCCCCCTGCCGTGCCACTCGAGGCTGACTCGCCCGCACCACTCGGCGTGAAGAGAGGTTAAAGTGTTGGGTAGGGAAGCGCGCATTGTGGTCGTGTTTGGAGGAGGGTGGTGGTGGTGGGGGGGGGGGGACTTCGGGGCCTTAAAACGTCGCACCTGGTTGCAGCAAAGTTGCCCGAACGTTGCCATTTACACCCCCCACCCCTTGAGTTTGTCACTATCACAAATGCCTTTTCGGGTTAAGTTGTCCCGATTGTTGTATTGCAGCGCCGGGAGATATTCGAGCCTGTGTATTTGTTTGTTGTGTTATAGCAGAACGTACAGACATTACGTGCGTGGTTGTGTTGTGCGTTCGTGTGTTCGTCTTTGGTGGCGCCATGAACCAGTCCTGGGCCACGTCAAGGTCCACTCAGCCCCAAATGAGTACCCAGTGCGATTTGTGAACATCGCCACGAGGAAGACAAAGACGGCCGGGCGTGGTGCTGGTTCACTCACTCCCTCGTGTGCCGTGCCGGCCTGCATTAGGTGCTTGCTAACAGCATTTGTCCCCAACAGTCTACAGCATTAACGTCTGGGTCTTTGTCGCGTTGCATTGAGACACCTGTATTGTTGGGGCAGAGTCGCGACCGCCAAACACACAACTTGCAAATTCTAATTTAGCGTCTTGGATTTTTTTTTAAGGTCATAACACGAACGTCAAAATGGAGCTCACGCTTCCAGCTCGCGTGAAGAGAAAAACCAGACCCCTGTAGATTTAAATGCGAGGGTTTCGCTGAAGATAGACAGAACAGCTGTCCCCTTTTCAACGCATTGTGACTCAGCCACGCTTTTAGAACGTAGCTCGCACGCGCACTCTGTCCTGCAATTAGGGCCCAGTGCATCCCTACAGCGATAATAATGACAATTTTTGATGCTACTCAAAAGGCCGTTTCTTTTTTTTCCGTTATTGTTATCTACTTCTTGAAAAAAACCCCCTATAAATAGTCCGAATTCAAAGGAGCACGACTTAGACACTGATTGCTGAAATCATCTGCGGTGCCCGTCATGCACTGCGATATAAAAAGCAGCATTGAGCTCATGATGTGTTTTCCACATTTTTATGCAACTTGAAAAATGTTGGTCGCTTATATAACGCGTTACATACACGTTGTTTGGGTTGGCAGAATAGACACGCACGGTTAAGGAGCTTATCAGTGCAAAGATGTAGCTTTGTGTGGTCAGATTATCAGCTATTATACCTTATTACAGGATAAGCCTGGTCACGGCCGAGTGATTTTAATCAATGCTTCACTTTGGAGAACGGTGCACGGAACCTCATTCGCTGGCACCAGTGTCCGCTGTGATGTTGCCAGTCAGGAACTGAATGGCGTCAATTAGCGTTTGCCTTCGTTTGTAGCGTAGCACCCCCCCCCCCTTTGCCCCCGCCCCCCCCAACCGGCACCCGCCACCCTTCCTGTCACCTGCAGGACGGTTGTCATAGATTCCACTTTTTTGTCGGCCAATCCCAGCTCGTTAGCGGACTGCACTAATGACCCGGCCATGTGTACGCTGCACGTCCAGAAACGAGGTGGACCATTCTTTCTTTCATCAAAAGGTCGAAGTCAACTCGACATCGCCCACAGATCAAGTAAAATCGAATTCACTCAGTGTGGGGAAAGGTGGTGCAATGGTCTAACGCGCAGGCGCTATGAACCCAGCGACCTGCGTTTGATTCCCAGCCACGGCTAACATCAGCCGTGACGTTTGAACCGGTCTCGTCTTACGCACTCCCCATTCACCAACCCGCGCTGACCAGCACGGGGAAGTATGGGCAAAAAGGCCGCATGTACGAGACACGCCGGGGGGAGGCCTTCATCTGGCAGTGGATTTACTAAGGGCTGCAGATCCCTGTGCAAAAGGTGGCTCTGAGGATTGTACAGGCTGCTGTATATATGGGCCATACGTGGGGTGTGAGCATTGAATAGAGAAAAAAAGACTGCTCCAGTGAGGTTTGAAGTCTCTCCCTTTTCTCCCCACCACCTTGGCCATGCAGGAGGGGGTGCAAAGGAGCGCTGGGACCCGGTCGAGGCTCCGCTACGATAAATACGTCTCAAGTCGGCGCGTCGGCGATACGCCGACGCGCAGGTTGATGCCTTTCTATACCCGAACGTGCGCGGCACAGACTTTGAAATGATCCCACGGGGACGGAGAGGCTGTCAAGTACGAGGGCAAAGGTCAGGCTCCGGCTATAAATCTCCACACAACGGCGTTCATCAGCGGTTATTGAAATGTACGTGCAACGCGTTTCGAATGGACATTTCACGTTCCCCAACTCAATCCGCCACGTTCAATGCGCGCGTACGCCTTGACAGTGTCAGGATGAAATCATAAATGGAGCACATTGGAAATCAAAGGGGATTGTGCGGGCCTGTGTGACAAAGGAGGGTTAAGTTTTAGCTTAAAACGAAAATTCTGATGCCATGTGCGATTCATTAGCTATTGGGGAAAATTAATTTTGACGTAATGCGCTGCGTCCTACCCCGACCGAGGGTTCTGTTGGACGTTTAATGCGGGAAGCGGCTGCAACAGCTGGGTTAACGCGAACATCGAAGTTCACCACACTGCACTGGCATAACCCATTGTCGCGCAACATGATTTTATATTTTAAAGAGGACGATATGAACCTCGGATGCAATTGAATGGATCTAAAGACTTCCTCAAATGCCTCCGTTAATTCCGTTAAACGCATCGCAAGTTAACTTCCTCCTATTTACTCGCGGTGAAAATGCTCGTGTATAGAGCTGACAAAAAAACCATAACCATTTGCACTGAATACTCGGTGGAAATATATGGGTTTTATAAGTAGATCGAATAGTATTGCTGAAAATGACATTGATATGCAGTGCATTTGTCCACTCACGTCAAAATAAGTTAGACCCACAGTTAAACAAAATTTATATTGGAAATCTATGTAAATGTTTTTTTTTCCATGTATGTGTGTGCTATAGACTATCACTCAGCCAAGTCACTGAAAATTTTTCATTCAAAGCTTGGATAAAAAAAAAGCAAAACGCCGTAAACTGTTCACGATTGAGGATTTAAGTTGGTACTAGTTTTCAAAGACTGCACGTTTGTGTGCCGGTTAGACAGGTTTTTTTTTTAAAATCACCTAACCCAGAATCAGTCTGATCCTCCCGCTAATTCCTCCGTGCCGCGATGTTTATACGGCATTTCCACCTGGCCCGAAACCGTGCACACATCCTGATAAACACATGACATCACACATGTTCTCATTGGTTTTTTTCACTTCCTGCATCGTGTTCTGGTTTGTTATGAAATGTCAATGGCTTGTCAGAATACACGAAACAAAACGCGTTCATACCTCAAATCGAAGCTTGTCGTTATCGTGTGATTTAAAACAAAAAGTAATCTCGTAAATATTCTCAAAAATCTCCAAAGTTATTCGCTTACATTTAAAATAAATTTTGGTGAGACGTACACAACGTTGTATGCTGTAAAAAAACATTGTTTACTTGCATTTTAAGCGTGGCATGGTAGTTATAGGCCCTCATGTAAGGGATAGAATGAGGTCCCCTATCCTAATTCTCCCCCTGTTCATTAACTACCACCTGGGCCCCTCCGGCCAGCCGTGGGAGCTTGGATGGTGCAGTTGCACCGCCTAAACTTCGGATAACTATGCCACTGATCTTACCTCTGGTATTCCTTACCAGCGACTTGTTGTTTCAGTGGACTCTGCTTTTAAAAACAAAGCAAACCTGTTCGCGTAAATTACTCGTGTTACCGTGCGTACCGAATAAATCTGATTTTTAGAGCGTGGTCGTTATTGCAATTGATATAGCCTCATGGCCGCCGTTTTTATTTGACATGCGTGACAATTTGCAGGACTCTCACCGCCTCTTCCAATTTTTTGTGTTTCAGCCTCGGCGTAACTTTTTTTTCTTGAAAACAACCCCACCGAGAGGCTCCACGTGTGGCGACACAGCGGCACGCAACACTGCACAGGCCAGCCGCGTACCTGCCAGCAATTTGACAAACATTGGTCCCATGTGTGTGTGTGTGCGCGCGACGGCGGCGGCGGCGTGGTGCCCTGATCTGATGTGAGTTACGAGGTGCACGGTGCCGAACGTTGTATACGGTAGGGTGGGGGTTGGGGGTTTGGGGGGAGGGTGCAAACTCTGTCCATGTGTGGGGCTGTTGTGGGAATAATCTGCTGGGAGACGTCGGCGAGGATTAAATGGGGCCTGAAGCAGTTGCACGTGTTGCAGGGCCGGCTCCGATTTCCGTGGTTGCAATATTTGACGTTGTATTATGTAAATTTCTGACGCCACGGGGAGAGCTGACGCATTGCTCGGAATTATGCTGAGCGACAGAAAGAGGAACACGTGGATCAGAGAAAAGATATAAAATGGGAAACGTTATATTTATGAAGGGGGAGCACATGGGCTTCAAGGAGGACTTTTTTTTGTCGCCAAAGGGGATCGTGATGGTGGAGATTGGTTAACGGAATGGGAGGCAAAGTAGAGGACGGCCCCAAACTGAAGACCACATTGGAGGTGAAGCAGTAGAGGGATGGATTGAAGTACCGTACGTAGCCAACCGTGCTAAACGACCACGAGGAATGACAGTTGCACGGGGATGCCTTGATCCAGCAATGGTTTATTGATCATAGCCGATGATTATGAAGGTGATGAAAGGTCATAATTTGTGCTTTTAATTGTCAATTCGCTTGGATGCAAAACCACAAACATGTTCGTCTTCGTGTGCTCTTCTTTGCGGGGCCGCGCGCCCATCGTGCCGCAGTGCAAGGCGTCGTCTTCTTCTTCTTCAGGGCGCGCGCTTTCCCCTCTGGAGCTGCAAGGGCATGACGGGGCTCTGGGTGGCCGCTGTTCCGCATGATTGCGGATGAGGAGGGCAATTTATGAAATGCGCCTGCCAGGAGCCAGGCAGCCTACTGTACCTGCCTCAAGGCAAATCCCTCTCCTCCCCGCTCGCTCACCGAAAAAAAATCTCTTAAGCATTTTAGTGTCAAAGCTGCGCATGCTAATGCGGGTGATCTCCATAATTCACTTTTTTTTGGAAGCCCTTTGCCAGGCAAGAGAGAGAGAACGGCGTGGTTGTGATTGTGAGTCACCTCCGTAGCTCGTGTAAGAAACTGCTGCAGTCTTCATGCAATTCGCAGAGCCAGTATAGGCACAGAAGGACGCCCCCGGTCTCGAGCCAGTCGCCGAGAGTGGACTTGGTTCATGCAATGTTTAAACTTAAAATGCGTTTTGACAATAATCGGGTGTTAAATATATCTATTGTATAGGAAATTGTGGCACAAAGCTCCCCACCCCCCGGCTGGGAGAACCGTTTAGCAATTTGTCATATGAATAACAAACGGCGTACCGACCGCGCTAAAGCACACGCTGGGTAAACATCTGCGTCTGATTTGAGGCATTAAACCAGAGCAGATGAACAACATGGAAAGTGCGTAAGGTTCCAAGCACAACGCCCTCTTTGTCTTCAAATGTTACCTTGGATGGTACTCGTGTGTGCGCCCGCAGTAGACTCGTGTTTAGCGAACACAAGACACATTGTGTGTGTTTTTTATGTTCACTTTGAACAAAACACTTGTGTTACAACGTTGGCCAGTGGTGCAGAAGCACAAACAATAATACAGAAAACAATTTCCATATTCGTCAATAACAGTGCCATGCAGGAAGAGGATCATTCACGGTGTCTCGTAGGTGACATGCTTGGGCAACGGCCATTATTCAGTGGGTAACGTTTCAGGAAATGACCCTTCATCGCATACAGATCACTCTGTTGTGAATAACCTTTTCCCGAAAAGTCACGTGCTATACAGGTACAATATATATATTTTCCTTTGGGGCAAGTGTTCTTGACAAATGTGTTGATTTTCTAACTTTTGAAAATTAGGTATCAACACACACAGGACATTGTTGTTTCCGTGTTTTAATTTTCATAACAAGGCAATTAACGTGTCCAGACTGACCGCTTCAAAATGTGACATTGCATCCAGGGGCGGTGCTTCCTCCCGGAGAGATCCTCCTCTTCCTGCGTGAAAGTCTATCCACTGCTCCCACTGAATGCATTTCTCCAAATCTGTACCAAAGTTCAGTCTCGGTGCGATACACCATACATTGTGTACCGTGATTGCAGCGAAATTAAATGTACAATTGTTTTAAGAATTCGGCCAAGAAACACAAACACAAACGCTCACGCGAAGGACAGAACTCCACCTTTGCGTGGTCATAAAAAATACAGGGCCTCGCCATAAATAATTCCACTCAAATTATAGGCTTGTGTCACTTTTATGTCTCAAAGTGTTTGCGAAATGAAATTTATGGGGCCCCGCGTTATTGGATTCTCGCGTTGGCAAGAGGCAGTTCTGCTGCAGCCTAAACATCATCCCGTGTCGTCAGATGATGTGACAGCAGAGGAATTACCGTCTAGACGCCCAGCCAGGAGCCCTGAGGCAACAGCGTGACCCCACAAACACTCACTTCCTCCGGACACACCTCCCGCCCTGGGGGTGGGGGGGGCGTGGGAGGGGGGGCATGCAGGGGGTAACAGCATTCTACTCGGTGGGATTTTAAAAAATAACATATTTAATCTAACAAACAAAAACCTCAGAATAATTTTTTTAAAAGGTTCCGATATCTAAATGACTCTAAGTACTTGGCCTTTACGTTGAAAATAATTTTAAAAGGCTGAATGCTCAAATTAAAACTGAGGTGGATTCTTTAACTTGGCGTGGATGTGTTTTTGTCATCATAGTAATAATATTACCCGTTTATAACCCGTACAGCATTCATGCAGCAATTCATGAACACCAGCCAGATTCAATGGAAATTGTGGCTTCAATTATATTGTTTGCTTTGTCGAGAAAAAAACTAAAACATAAACTGGAAATGGTGTCGAAATTCAATTACGCCCAATTATTAAGACCTGCCATATGTCAAAGCCACGCTATTAATGAATGTACTTGCCCTTGTTAAATGCAGGCATCTTAGACTGCGTAGTACACGGTGTAAAAGTAACACAAGAAGGGTCTTTTCTATCTTTTTTTTTGCATGTGACCTATTTGCTGGAAACAGGACTTTCCTGTGGGCTGATCAACTTCTCGGGAGGCCAATTTTAATTGCTTCATAGGTTCAAGGAGGTGTGCCACCCAGTCGAATCCTCGGTCACCGCTGCCTCATAAAGGGCAAACGTGGAATCGCTGTGCCACAAAATTGCTGACGGGACGGCGCCTGTAAAATTACAATGGCCGTTCCGTATCAGAAGAGCGAGCACTGCCGCTCCGCGTGTGTTCGCAGTGCGCAAGCTGACATCATGGTGTGTTATGCGTATGGGCCAATGCGTGCCTACACACCTGATGCCGAGCCGGTTACTGCTCATTCCAGCCCCTGCCCGTCTGGCGGCAGGTGCTGGCGGCGTTCGGGATTAGTCGGCGCCACCCTCGAGAAAGACTTCAAAGGGGCACGGAGAAAGAAGAGGGGGCCGAGGGAGGCAGCTCAGGAGGAAAGAACGGAGCCAAGAAAGAGCAGAGAGAGGGGAGGGATGCAGCGACCGCTTGATCTGGGCCCATCCCACTGCAATACATCCCATCCAGCGCCATTCCAGACCACGAAATGAGAGCCAAATCACCAACAGACTTTAAAATCAGTGTGGCTCCGTCTGCCCCTGCTTGCCTCAGATGTCTGGCTCTATACCATGATAATCCTGTCTCAAGAAAAAAATATACGAATGTCAAAATAATAAGAGGATGTAAATCTTAAGTTCTTAAATGCTATATTTTCAGAACTGTTTAATACTGTACCTGGAAAAGCAATTATTGTTATGTGTGTTGGTAGTGCATTGCCCAAATCCACAGAAGTCCAAATAAATGCGATTTTTTTTGGCCTAACACTTTGTGCTACTATCTATTGATGCACAATATATCACAATTAAGTGTGAATGCAATTTCTATAAGTGTAGAACCTTAACGCCTTCAATGTGCTGCTTTTCAAAGGTATATGACTTGCTCTGCTCCACTGTTGCAGTAAGTCTACACGGAACCAACAAGGCAGCCCGAGGCCATTTAATTTGATCTCTATTCATTTTGTTTTGACATGCAAGCAGTGATACATTTCGTTTAGAGTGGTCATTGTGGTTTTAATACACATTGGATAAATGTCACAGTGCATTAACTGGGTAGCAATAAACTGTCTTAAGATGATCATGAGATATTTGAATACACGAGTAATTTTAAAACCGTACATTGCAAAGTAATTCACATATAAACACGATCTTATTGATGCTTTTTGTTCAATTCAGTTCTATAGTTATATTTTAAGACACATTCATTTTGAAGACACTAATTTTCAAGCTTAAAATTTAAGCTCAACCATACTGTTAAATGTGTAACTAACAACAGCTTTCTAAGATGCAATGGTTCATTTCTACGATACATGCAAAACGTGTAGTTTTGTAATTAAAATTGCTGCCATTATTATTGTGCATTGCAGATAAAATGTCGCAATTGTGGCCTGAGTCATTGCAATGAATGGTCTTACACACACAACACAGATTGTGCATGGATCAGTGGTTAGTGCACTGCACGAGGAACATAGCTCCCCGAGTTCATGGTCAACATCAGCGGCAAGTGACACTTAAACTGATCCGGGGTACGCACGCCCCTTTACCAACCTGCACTGACCAGCATGGTGAAGTATGAGATCAAACAATATCCATTGTCCGAAATAGTGTGGGAAGACCCTTATCCGCGAGTGTGGTTTTAGACAACTTGGTTGTATATTGCACATTGGAAGGGGGCATATATATTTTTTAACAACTCTACCAACGTACATTTGGCTGTCACAATTCACTTTCATTGATCACGGACACCGGTAGCACGGACATTTCTGCACCTCCGGTTGGCACTAATCTCTGAGCTTGACCTACGGATTGAACCATCGAACACCAGTAGCCGCTCCAGTTTCCCCGCTCGCTATTAACCCTCGGGTGGCCATCTCAGTGCATATCTCAGTGTCGCTGAGGCGAGCCGCGCTCATAACCCGAAGCACACAATGGGCAAATTAGTGCACAGCGCTCGCAGCCACGCAAGGCGTCAATAATGACGATGACGTACAATGGAGATGGATGAGAGGGCTCGCTGATGGCTGTATATACAAAAGTCCCAAGATCGTATCACGTGGTTTATCCCCAAACGTTTGGGTATTTGTTATGGACAGGGATGTGGATTAAGAGGACACCACAGCAAGTGTGTTTCGTGTCTTGTTCGTTCGTTTCTCAGTCCGCTTGTCCTGGTGAGGGTCGCGGCAGCAGCGTGTTGAGTAGGGCGGTCGAGACCTCACTTTCCCTGGCGACAGACCCTAGCACACTACTATACACTACAATACACTACACGATACACTACTATACACAGGCTCGAGCTCTTCCCAGGCGTTCCCAGGCCAGCCGAGCAACACAATCCCGCCAGCGTGTCCTGGGCCGGTCCCGGGGTCTACACCCAGTGGGACGTGCCCGGTTGAGTTTCAGGGGGAGTCTGCCAGGGGGCATCCTTACCATGTGCCCAAGCCAGCGGCTCGACTCTGAGGTGCCTAAATGCACATTTATCTTTCCAGCAGCCCCGACTGGTTTTTCTGTCATTTAATATAATCGGACTTTTTGACAGTTGTAATCCACAGTGAATAAACCGCCACGAAACAAATGATAACTTACAATTACTGCCGATAACCTCAACAGCAAGTTAAGCGGTTGGAAAAATGAAATCGAAATTACAGTTAAAAAGAAAATTAAAAATATATGTAACACAATAAAAATGTTTAAGCAAGCCCAACTTCGCTCATGAGACACTGAATGTTGAAACCGGTCAAGTTTTCTTGGATTTAACTAATTCTGCTGAAAAGGCGCACTCCTAGAAGGCCGTGTGACCAATGGGATGTGTACCAATACTTTACTATTTCATTTGAGACATTCTAGAGGGCGTTGCCTGCTTATTTGCAGCAAAAAAAATAATCCGCCGTGATATGGGGGGACCCACTCGCTCGCGGATCATATCATCTGCGGCACACCACGGTAGTTAATCCTGCAACCCGCTCTAAAAATGTCACGCCGGTGCCGTGTGCCGCGGATATTAAGATATGGATCTTAGTTTGACGCAACTACATCTGGCAGTTCAGCAGCATTGCTTCATGCAAGCCGGAATGCTTATGAGACGCTGTGCGCCTAGAGTATTATTGTATTGAACCAATGTTGCTTTAATAATGCACTTCCAAGAGGCCTCGTGGTTGACTTGAAGTAAATACTTTTTTACGTGAACAAATAACATATTAGAGGTGTATTATCTGCTCATATTTTGAAACACACATTCTCCGCAAGGCATAATTGTGCTCTAAATTATTTTGTTGCACCTGAATAGAACGTAAGATTAAGGACAAACACATTTAAAAAAAAGTATTGAATAACACGTTGAGGTATGAAAAATGTCCCCCGTATGGCCTTAACAGACTGTTGGGACAAGTTCTGCTAGCGAGCACCTATGAAGGCCGGCATGGTACACGAAAAGGTCGGTGGCCAACACCTCGCCTGACCGCCTTTCTCTCCCCAGTGGCAATGTTTGCACACCATACACCAGGTATTCATTTGAGGCTGAGTCGACCTAGGGGAGGCCCAGGACCGGCTCAGATAATCGTCACTGCTGTTGGTCGTAAGCGGGAATCGAACGCGGTTGGCCGGGTTCGTAGCACAGCTGACCGCTACAAGAACCGCCATTCGCCACTAAGTGACGGTGACGTCAACACGACGCATGTGCCAGGCCAGGTGCACTTTGAGACCACGTGAAGTGTCGAAGGCTCGCTGACTTGTCACGGGACAGACCCAGGTGCCATGGATTGGCTGACTGAGATGACTGGCAGATGCATCAGCTGTGCCCCCTCCTGTGCCAACTTGCTAAATTTTATCCGCGCGGTTCTGCGCTCGTTGTTGAGCGTCGCTCCTCTGCTCTCCGTTGTTGTTGGAGAGCGACTGCCTCCAACTGACCAGTAGCATCCTTCACGAGCCTCTTTCAGAGGCCGATCTTGACACCGTCTTCGGCAAGTCCACTGAACTCCACATCCTCCCGTACCGCATCACTCTATCTCTTCTCCAGCCCGTGTCGTGTCCGTTTAGCCCCCTCTATCCGGCCAAAGAGAAGCTGCTTGGGAATGCGATGGTTGGGCATGCAGGCTACATGACCCAGCCAATGCAGCCTTGCCTACCGGAGTAGCTCACTGATGGGAATGTCCAAATCTTTCAAGGATTTGTGAGCTCCTCACACAATCCAGCGTGGTGGTTAAACCCAGGACGCGATCGGAGGCAGGCTAGCCAACCGGCGCAAATGCTCCATTAGAGGGGTCCATGTTTCACAAGCAAAGAGAAGGGGGGACATGATTTTGGCCGAGAAAAAACCCAGAGTCGTGTAGAGCGAAAAACCAGGGAGCTTCCACAGCATTACGCAGCCGATGAAAAAATAAAGCCGCCCGACTAATTCGGAATGAGACCTCTGCTGTCAAACCGGAGCTGGTCATTTGCCATTGAGTGGCGGTGACGTCATCACGGCACTTGTGCCAGGATATGTGCACTTTAAGGCCATGTAAAGCTTGTGTGGTAAAAAAAAAGATCCCCCCGGTTAGCCTGAACAGACTGTTGGGGCAAGTGCTGCTAGCGAGCACCTATGAAGGCCAGCACGGCGCACGAGGGGGTGGGTGGCCAGCACCACGCCCGGCTGCCTTTGTCTCCCCAGTGCCGATGTTTACACACCGCACCAGGTACTCATTTGAGGCTGAATCGACCTAGGGGAGGCCCAGGACCGGTTCAAATAATCATCACTGCTGTTGGCCGTGAGCGGAAATCGAAACCCGGGTGGCCAGGTTCGTAGCGCAGCGCGCTAACCGCTACACCACCGCTCCCCACACTCACACAGACACACACTAATTCTGCCACTGCTCCTCCACTCAGCACGTGTTTCTCACCCACGTGTTTGCAGCCCGCACCGAGCCGTGACCTCTAACCCCCCCCCGCCCGCCGAATCCAGATCCGCCGCGATCCCATTGGTTGGTGGCGCTCGAGATACGCCCACCCCGGCTGCGATCAACCAATAGAAGACTGTGGATAATTATTCACATGCCAATTTCTAAACAAAAACTGTTCATCACACACCATATAAAACACGTAACTCTTATTTTTTACAATCTATCTCTGTGGACCTATGTGCCACGAACACGAACAATCGCCCGATACGTGGTCTATTATATATATTTTTTAAAGGCCACACACAGGGACACGGCGTTGGTGTTAATTCTGACAGACGTGTATGTTTACATCCCTTTGCCAATACAGCAGCAGCAGCATCAGCAACAACAATCACCAACGGCAACCCGTTTGGGTGGCGGGGGAGGAGGTTGCAACCTTTCCCGCGCGACGTCATCGCCGCAGCAAACCCACGCGTTACATGACGTCTTTTCGCCTGAGTGTGACGTCACGGCACCGCCCGCCCCCCCATCCACCCGTGTAACATGTGCGCGGACATGGCGGCCAAGGTGACACGGCGTTCGGTGGCGAGGCGGGGTTGGTGACCCGGGGCGTCCGTCACGGCGTTTCCCAGCAGCAGGCAGCGACGGGAAGCGGCACAGCAACTTTCTTCACTCAACAACTACGGCGGTCTATTTGTTATTTATTCCCGCTGTGTATTGCTGCAGAGACGCGCGGTCGTACGAAGCCCCTCGCCGATCACTTCGCGGTCACTAATTAAGCTGCAGTTGACCGCTAATTGACTTGGTCGAGCTTGCGGGGCGCGCCTTGACCATGGTACGGGTATGGACGCCTCGCACACCCACACCACGCATCCCATCATCTTTCGCCTTACTCCACTCACTTCCACTCCGACCGTTCACGTTCAACACTCGCAAGCAGCCGTCACGATCCATACACAACGCAATCGCCGACACACTCACCGACAAACATGGCTCTCATTGGAGGCACAATTAACATACAAAAAAACCCTTAACATCCGTCAACAACACCGTGGTCTTAATAGACACAAATATATAACCGGCGACGTTTCGGGCAATGGCCCCCCCTTCATGCCGCGATCACACACAAACCCCCCCCCCCCATTACATCCAAATCGGCGACGTTTCTGGAAATAGCCCTTCTTCAGAGGACATGATTCAGTCATTTACTAATACTGGAGAAATTCGATGAGCTATAAAGCTCTTGTTCACAGATGGTGCAGTTAAAAACCATTTCCGGAAATGTCACCGATTTTTTTAAATTTACCTCTTTAAAGGTCACAGTTTTGTGTGTTGACGAGCGTGTTGAGTGGTTTTTTTTGTCGTCAATTGTGCTTGGTGCACCCACTGCCAACGCAGAAGCATCGCCACAAACTAATGTATTGGAGGCAGCGCAACAAGTATGTTGCCCACACCTCCTGCGTAAGTGTGTGATGGGTTTTCAGGTGGCCTCCACTCGTATACACACTGTCGGATGTATAGTTTAATCGGGATAGAACCCTTGAAGTGGTTTCCCATTCTCAGGAGTATAAGACGTAGCTCTGTGGGGCATGTAAGATGCATGCCATACATGTCGCCGTATGTCAAGGTGTGTGGGGGGAGCGGTAGTGGAGGGGTCAGCGCTACGCTGCGCTACGAACCCGGCGACCCGGGTTCGATTTTCGCTCACGGCCAACACCGGTGACGATTATTTGAACCGTTCCTGGGCCTCCCCTAGGTCGGCTCGGCCTTAAATGAGTTCCCCGGTGCGGTGTGTAGTAAACATCGCCGCTGAGGGAGACAAAGGCGGTCGGGCGTGGTGTTGGACACCCACCCCCTCGTGTGCCGTGCCGGTCTTCATAGGTGCTAGTCGCCAACAGCACTTGCCCCAACAGTCTGTTCAGGCTACACGGGGGATCTTTGTCTTGCATGTCATATGGTTACACACAACATGTCAAATGTCTCCCATGCGGATTACAAGACGCACCCCCAACCTTTGCCTTGGGGGGGGGAAATGTGCGTCTTATAATCCGAGTTGATATCCGTCAAATGTATAAGGAAGTTATTCGCCAAACTTTAAATGCAGGGACCCTGCTGGTGAAGCATAAATTGTTCGGCGAGGATTATTGCACTAACTAAAGAATACCTGCTGAATTGTTTATAATACGTAATGATGCTTGTGGGAGATTACATTGTTAAGATGTCGTGACAATAATTTGAAAGTTCCTTGGTCAAATCTTGCAAACGGCTTTAAAGAAAAAAAATACTGGTTAGTTTTAAAACGGTTGGATTAAAGTTTGTAAAAGGTCACCACACATTTGCACGTCTACAAATTATTGTTTCGGCGAACTCGTCAACATTATTACTGCCATCATTCCGTAAGTGTGTTATGCAATCTATGCAGACCTCCCTGCTGCTGTTTTATATGCAGTACTGTGTAGTAACCCCTCTGCCTGCCAGAAGTTCATTGACACAAAGTGTGAGGAGAGCACTTAAAGTTCTCCTTACTCCCGTGTAGCTTTTGTGTGTACAATGATAAGACTGCCATTGCACCATGGCATTGTTTTACAGTATATAACATGCAAAAAATGCATCGGTGCAGACGTGAAAATCACTTTCTCATGCCGCTGGTGGTGGTAGTTGTCTCCACGGGAAGGCGCTTTAGAGAGCCCTGGCCACAGAGTATTCGGTCTACTCTTCCTTCGACCCCATCACATACGCGACCTGCCGATTGGCTCACTTCGGTGTGCCCATGTGTACTGCTGGGTGGAAAGATGCGGGATGCTTTGTATTTGTACTTCGACCCTTGTTTGAAAACCCACTGAGATGGGTTTCTTTGAATGTGGAATTGTCAAAGTGTTGAATGTGGGATGCCAGTGTGGGTTCATTGTCCTGACTGAAGAGTTGTATGGAAGGCTCGCCTGTTACTGACGCACATCCTGTACACTACACAATTCATCTGCTCATGGGTAAGGGGGGAGACCTGGCCTGGGAATCACGAATCAAAATAATGTGTCCCGCGCTAATGCCACAACTAGTTTACCCAATTCAGTGGGCCTTGCCAAATAAGAACGATTGCCATTGACAATGATTGCATGTATCACTGAATCATTTGCCTGCAAGTTACTCCTTGAAAATCTAAAGTGATCTCCATTCTTCACCGCTGCTGCTAGTCTAACTTTAAATATTGCTTTGCCTTTCATTGTAATTATGCTTCAAATACTGTAACGATTTGTTTGACTGTGCGTGTGAGAATTGATCTCATCTCGCTAAATGAAAACGAGAAATAAAGTCATGTTTCTCAAATACAATTCACTTCTGCCGTCATGTGCTTTTGTCGCGTGCCGTGTTTGTCAATGCTATTGCCAATGTCAATGGCGGTGTTGTATTACAGATTTCCGTCACGAAGCGAGCGGATGCAGCTGAGCTTAAAACCGTGTTTAATAAGGTATGGCAACGCTGCGACCGTTCGAAACATTGTAAGGCATCGGTGCTTAAGATATGTTCATTTGTAATTTACGGTCAACTTGTCATTTGACGTGTTTGCAGGCTGTACTGTGTGTGTTTGTTTTCGCGATGTTCCTGAACAAGCACATGGAGTGAATCGCCAAGCTTCGTGCCGAACAACATGCGTTGGCAAAGCAAAAAACATCGCAGCTGTAACAGTGCAATTGTGAAAACCCGCGTAGTAGTAGTAGTAGTGTCAGTTGTCTTTTGAGGTCTGACACTAAGTCAAGTTACTTGTCAAACAGTGAATGTTTTTGTTCTCTTGTCATCGGTCCACGGAGTGCAACACTTATCAAATTCCCTCTTATCTGGTGGAGGTCAAAAGACTGTAAACAATGCCCAAATAGTTAAACCTCTTGTGTTGGCTATTGAACCTGTTTGGTTTGTACACAAAGGGCAACCTCACGCGCTAATGAATGCATGAATGAGCTGTGCCCTTGATTGCCTTTTGTTTTTATTACCGGCCGTAACTACAGAAGTAAACACGGCCAAGATGCATGAGGAAGCATTTGACTGATAATGGCTTGGTTTTCGCTGGAAGTGGAGCGTGTATCTACGCCTCCATTCTCGCTGACCTCTGCCGCAGTCTGCTGCTTCTGAGCAAAACGCTGCGGCGTATGCCATGAATTACAGTGCCACATTTTCTCTTGTTCAGTCTAATTTTCACCAGCGGTTATTGAGCCTGTTGACCAGCGGCCGTTGGGCTGTTTGGAGAGACGCGTGTGTTTAAACGTGCGGGCACACATTGTTTATAGCAAACTGATGTTATGTTTGCACACTGTTCTTTGACATTGTCTTGTCACGTAAACTTTTACACAAGTTTATATCGCATGAAAGGTCATGACAACTGAACAAAATGAATGCTGGTATCGTATGTTTTGGGTGTTCGACATTTTTGATATTATTGTACAACTTCGCGGCACAAAACTGCTCCACATTTTTCAGAGTTTCAAAATTGCAGGTATTTTGAAATGTGTATATATGAGTTTTTCATTTGACATAATATGATTTTCAGTGTCCACACTGTTTAAGCCTTCTTTTGCAGCAGGCTCTATTCCCACCCACTACTCCGTATACAGCTTTGGGTCTTGAAAGCATTTATCCTTCAGTTTTGACACTGAGTAATATTTATTTACGTGGCTAAAATGCAAAATTACCTTTGAGTCATGAGGGATTTCCACAATTACTTTACAATTGTAAACGCTGTATCTTAGTGTATGCATTAGCTATAGCCTTAACATTTTAACTGCAATGTTACTTTGAGGTACTGTACAAAAAACTTATCTTACAATAAAAAAGGCTACAGCTCAAAGGACAGAAAAAAAACCCACAAAGTTTCTCAAAGGGAGTCTTTGAATTTTTTATTTAAAAATAAATACAAACAAAAAATACAAACTGTAAAGCAGTACAAATTATTGAACGCCCATTCACGGTGCATTACGATCATGTGACCGCTCTTTCACAGCGCACACATTTGTTTTTTTCTGCCATGCTAACTGAATCTTGCAGAAAAACTGCTCTGCGTATATAATTACGCGTTCAACTTGAATGCAATGGTTTTATATATATCATAAAGTCCCACCAGGCAACTTATCTGGAGTGCCGGTCCGGCATATTTTGCTGCAATAAAATTGTCCGTTCTCTTGTTCGTCACTCATTCCGGGCCCGTAGCTCGTTGCCTTCAGCATTCTCTCACACCCTCCGTGTGAGTGCAGTATGCGAGCGTCGAGCACAATGGAGATCGCTTCATGGCTCCAGCCGACTTTGTGCAGCACTTCCTGGGCCTGCTCCGCCAACCCAACCACAATCCGCGCGCCGTGATCACGCTCGCTGGCGTAGCCGACACCAGCAAAGATGGGTGCGTTGAGCTGCCGCATCTGTGACTTATTTAATTCGCTGAGCGCCGTGTTTCATCGCGTTAAAAAAGCAAGTCTCGCAATTCTGCGACGTGTTTTTTTGGTTTGTGCCGCGTATTCATCGGCACTATTGACTCGCTGCTACGGTCGTAATATTTCTTCCGGAGTGAAAAGAAATGGGCACTCTATTGCGCTTTACAATAAAATTAAGTGAGTAAACGAATGGCTACAACGGCGCACTGCCCTTGTGTTTCCATATTGCGCGGAAGCCACGAATGCAGTTGTCCTGCTCGCAGGCATGTTCCTTATCGCAACATTTCGTGACCCGCCCCGCCCCTTTCCCTGTAATATCGATCCCGCGCCCTGCCCCGCGCGTGGCCTCAGGCTCATCTCCTTCCAGGAGTTTGTGGCGTTTGAGTCGGTGCTGTGCGCCCCCGACGCCCTCTTCATGGTGGCCTTCCAGCTCTTTGACAAGCAGGGCAAAGGCGAGGTCACCTTCGGTGAGTGTCCCGTTAAGCGTTTCTAATGGGGACTAAACGGCAGGGCACGGCACCCTTGCCCTTCCCGGTCAGCACCCTCGACCTTTTTCTCGCTGCCTTCCTGGTCATCTGCTCTGTCCGTGTGCAGGAAACGCAGCTCGTTGGACGGAGATGTTTACAAGAAAGTAAATTAAAGTGTCGGCCAAATGCTCTTTTTGGCTTCAAATGCTTCTGTTGTTGCGCGTGGGTCATGTGAACAATTAATGTGGTCTGTTAAAATAATTATGAATTGTCAACGTAGCAAGTGCAAAAATAGTTGAAGATTTTTATGCTAATTCTTGCGTCATAGAATGCATTTTTCAGGGAACTGGCATTTGCGGCCTGTCAGATGTGCAGCTTTTATATGTGTACATTTTGTTTCTGTCACCAATAGCATTCTCTGAATATTAATTGGATTGACACGTTTGACATGTCAATTTCCCTGTTTCCGCCAGGGGAACTTTTTTTTCATTTGAAGGGTTCCAGTGGGAGAGAAAAAAAGTGACCTTTGTGCACTTGTCAGTAATCCATCCCTTCTCTCGGTCGCATCAAACCCGATTACATTGCCAACTCAATCTTTCACCCTCCTTTAACCAAGGTTCTCCTCCTATAATGGACCGAGCGGGTATTTCACTTGCGGTGGGCCTGGGTGGGTTGAGGATCCAGGCGTGTGCCGCCACTGCATTTATAGGGCTCGTCCTGCAGACTTTACTGCCCTCCTGCCAGCTGGTCTTGGGGCTCATTTCACCTTGCGATGTACATAAAGTAGATGACAAACACGGCAGAGATCTAACCTTCAGGGTGTTTCTGCCTAAAAGATAATTCAAGACTGGTTCATGTAAAGCAGAAAAAACATAAACATTGTTGAGCACAATAAGGCATTGCATCGGGGAATTTAATTTTTGGACCCACGACCCCGAGCAATAAGGTCTCGTGTGTCCTGCATCTTTGTTGCTAGTTAATTACTGAAACAGTACTTGCGCGATTTGCTTTATGTAACCGCTGTTTAATATTATTAGCTCCTGATTGTGTGCAGCGGACGAGTTTAAATCTGTGATGCTCTGGGTTGTTGAGCAGTGGGTAGCGTGTCGGCAAGGCCCTCTCAGGGCTCGGCGTAGAAGCTCATTACAGGCCGAGATATTCACACTGACATACCCTAACATTTCATTTTATGTATTCATTTGCGCACTTAATACAATTAGTTACAGACATGGGCAGTGGCAATTTAGTCATTAGTATAATTAGTGTAATTTATCCTTGACAAAATGACAATGCGGATACAATACTATTGACATGAGACTGGCGAGTGTGCTGTGACATAAACATTCAAGAAGCTGAAAATTATTTAATAGATTAAACTTTTTTTTTTTCTTTTGGTAAGCGATAATATCAGCGTTTTGTAAATGTTGGTTGTGTCTGGCAGACGGAGTGAAGGAGGTGTTCAGCCAGACCGCCATCCATCAGCAGATTTCCTTCAACTGGGACTGCGACTTCATCCGGCAGCACTTTGGCCACGACCGCACCAGGCGCCTCATCTACTCCGAGTTCACGCAGTTCTTGCAGGTATAATAAACGCACGCCCTCTTTGCATGACCTCTACGTCCTTGTTTGTGGAGGGGTAATCGTGTGCTTATCTGTAAGACGTAAAAGCGTACTGAACCACGTGCCGTTTCGTTTCCAGTGTGACACAGTTTGTTAACGCTGTACTTTATTGCGCAAAAAGCAACTGTAAAGATTTTCCGTGAAGGTAAGCTAAGACAGCATTCCCATGCTCCCCTTGTCGCTTTTTCAGTGGCCTGTACAAATGTTCGCAACTGCCGGCGCTCCCAAGACCGTACGCTGCCTCGCCCATGTTTGATTGCGTCTAATGTTTCCTGTTGAGTTCCTTCCGGAGGTGTTGGGGAGAGCCTTTCACTTGTCCATTATAGTCCAAATTGCTGCTGTCTCTTGCCACTGAAACGTGACTCCTCCAGAAGCTGGCAGAGGGATTGGGTAGGGTTGGTGTGGACCCTATAAAGGGGGGGGGGGGGTGAGTGGGAGCTGGAGGGGTGCAGGCAGACATGTAGGGTAAGGCTGAGCGGGGTGGTGGGGGAGCAGGGTTGGGGGGCGAGGGGAGGGGGGGGAGCTATGTGAAGAAGCACAGGTTTAAAATTACACCACCTTAGAAAAATGAAACCTCTTTCAGGCCACAAAATCAAAAACTCTTAAAAAAAACGTCTCTGGAGTTGCAAATGTAATTGTGACAAGCTGTCAACCTTTCCCTTGCACACGGAGCTCTTTATCACTTGCAGGACAGTGCATGAAATGCATGGCTAAGTACGGCTGCAGTAATTGTTGGTGCAAGGGGGATTGCCACTTACGCATGTTGAACAAGAGAACAAGAGCACTCGTCGCTGTACACTTCATCTCATGTAACAGAAACTCACGATAATGGAGCACAGGTTTTCTGTGCAGGAGAAAAGCCAGGTCTGTTTTTAATTAAGTGACACGTAAACATTCGCCCTTTTCTCCGTATAGCCTGCTTTAAAAATCGAGTTGATGTTTTGCTTTTCGCTTTACAATGCAGCAGAAAACGCGGTAACATGATTTTGTACAAAAATTATTCATTCAGTGTTACGTAATCGTCCGCGAGTGCCTTTTTCCCCCGCAATGGTGCGAAATTAGCATGCGTCGCGAAATGCTCAGCAGAACGAGCGAAAGCATTTGGCAGCCGTTACTACTGAGACGACGTGTTTCTCTACAGCAGCGTGTCTCGAAACTCCCGCACTCACGCACACCCTCAGCCCCTAGCCTCCTTTTTTTTGTTCACTCTGCCACCACACTTTACGTTTAAGGAAATTGCCCTTTTTATTTAACTGGCAGTAAGCGCAATGAAATTCATTACGTTAAAAGTGATGATTTGGACTCCAGTCAAAGACAGTAGTTTTGAGACTACCGTGGGTAAACATAAGGCATCTCTGGACATGAATGAATCGAGAAGTCAATTGCTGCAGATTTTGGCTGCACACTTATTTGAACCACAGTGGCAAATTTAAGTTTTATTTTTAGGCACTTGGCTTATACCTTGTCCAACATGGAAACAATGGGAATTAGTTGATTTCACGAGGCATAATAGTCAGTTATTACATAGTTGGTCAAATATTACAAGACACCGACAACCATTTATTTCTTGTGGATCTCTCCAATTGGAAAAGTTTCCGTGCTCTGCAAATGTGTTTTGTTACTGGGTAACATTAATAACGCATCGTTGTGGTCCTTTGCAGATGTATTTGCGTAACTGCAATGGGACGGTCGTGCAATTCATGTAATATTCAGCATGTGGCTCTAATATGTATTGAATAAATACAACATTTATTATAATTACTAAAAACACCCAAAATTAGAAGGCAGGAAATTATTCGTTTTGGCTGAAATGTAATAGTTTAACGTGAACTTAAATATTTGGGGCTTATCATTGACGACTGTTTGGTGTGGCATAGAATATTTCTTATCGTCATTCTAGTTTATCGAATATCATTTTTTAATTTTATAGTTCTTGCATGATCTTTTATGTGGATAATTTCTGAGAACATGGTTTGAGCATGTGCAGCTGTTATAATGTGAGTTCAAGTACAGGTGTATATATATGTGTGTGTGTGCCACACCCTGTCAGGGGGGTGGTCACCTCCTCTCAGTGTTCTTCGAGAAACAGCAGGAAATCACTGTGGCTGCCATGTGAAATGGCTGAACACTCACTGTGGAGGAGAGGCTGCCATTCCTCTATCAGGATCTTGACGGGTACCGACTAAATCTCTGTGGCATATAGGAGGCCCAGTAGACTGGTTCTGCCTCCATTCACTACGAGGGGTGGACAGTCCTCCACTCCGGGCAGGGCACTGTCAAACAACAGGGAGTGGCTCTTTCTGAATAAAAGGATGAAGGAGGCGTGGGAGTTTGCCGACGAGGTTTGGGAAGCTGCGAGTTCCAGGATGTAGCCCTCATGCTCAGCCACCACATGACCAAGCATCTTCTGTTTGGCTGAATAGAAGTGGCAAAATGAGCAGGGCATTGGCGAGAGAAAAGCTGGACTGATCAGGTACAGGAGGATATGTAGCTTGTCAATGATAGGTATCCTCAATGTCAAGATTCGTCTTTGTGTGGAGGAAGCTCATGAAGGACGCTAGTGGGCAGTTGGAGGTAGTCACCCTCCAACAATGGAGGAGCAGAGCGCTGGGAGCCAAAACGCAGCGAATTGGCACAGTGGGGAGCACACGAAGTGCATCTGTCAATCATCTCAGTCAACGCATAACACTTGCGTTTGCCCATGACCTTTTGCCAGTGAGCCTTCAACACTTCATGTGGCCTCAAATTGCACCTCGCCTGGCACAAGTGCTGCGGTGATGTCACCGCCACAAAATAAGTGGCTGTTATAATTTCAAGTCGATTAATTGACCTGATGGAGCAATCATCCCAGCTCGAGTCATTATGACTAACCAGGGGGGGGGGATCTTTATCTTTGTGTGTGGGTATGTGTGTGGATTGGCAGGAGCTGCAACTGGAACATGCTCGGCAGGCCTTCGCCCTGAAGGATGTTAACAAGTCCGGTACGATTCCAGCACTGGCCTTCAACGACATCATGCTCACCATCCGTCCGCACATCCTGTCGCCGTTCGTGAAGGAGAACCTCGTGTCGGTGGGTTGTTCTCCGAGCGCCTAGGCGCCTTCGTAAAAATTCCAATTGGTAAATTTCACAACTGTGAGCTTCCCACTGGGAAAACCAAATTAATCCCCTTTCTGTAACTGCATGAGCCTTATACTGAGCTTGTACCCTTTTTTTTTTAAGCTGTTGGTATTTTCTAATGCCTGTCGTGCGTGCGTTGAGTCGACGGCGCTCGTTCTCCATGTGGGTGCACAGGCAGCGGGAGGCAGCAAAACTCACCAGGTGAGCTTCTCTTACTTCAATGCCTTCAACTCGCTTCTCAACAACATGGAGCTGATGCGCAAGATCTACAGCACGCTGGGTGCATCGCGCAAGGGCGTCGGCGTCACCAAAGGTAGCTCGTCCGGTGCATCAAAAAGTCACGCGAACTTTATTCGTCCCGTCTCGATATATAAATAGCGAACGGTGCAGTGCACACGGGGTATTAATGATTAATGCCCGATTGACAATTTCGTGAACCGTCATCATTAGAAGTTTGATTCGATTACATTTTTTTTTATCATTTAATTGAAAGTAGTGGCTCCAGAGGTCTCCCTCGTAAACGTCGGCAATGGTTTATCTGCCTCTCTAACAAAGGCATTCCCCAAGCTGTTGCCATATCTCACGGTCGTTTGATGTAAAATAAAATCTGTCTAGCATATTTGCAGTGGCCATCCTCTCGGGCGATGTTTGGTTCTTTGGCTGGGGAGATCACGTGCACCAAATGCTTATAACATCTACGAATCGAAAACAATCATCTCTTTAAGTGCACAATTTGATGGGACGTATCGTGGGCGTAAGAATCGATTTTTACTCAGTGAATCGGTGTATCGTATGCTTAGCGGACGCTTGATATAGTGTTTGTAGATGTTTTATTATTTTAAAAAATTCGTTGGTGTTAAATGTGTCTGTTAATGTGAAATGTCCTTAAATTGCTTGTATAGAAGGAAACGTTTGCTGATATCTGTCATTGTAGTCGAGTTATAGGTTTCGTCAGATGGTTTTTTGTTTTTACATCTTAAGTAAACACGTTACACTTTTGAGCTGAAAAATGTAACGGTATAATTTGCATGCGAGAGAGAGCATCATTGACTGGGAGTGTATTTTCCTTCTTCTTGCCGAGTGTGACTGAAGCATACACCTGCTGCAGTGATCACTGTTATCACTCGCACAGAGCGGTGATATGTGAGACCATGATGCTTAACACGTGATAGTCCAGTTTGGCCTGTGCCATTACATACCTTGTACTCGTCGACTTTGCTGATTAAGCTTTTGTTGTTTGCCCTTGATACTGGCCATAAACCGAATACAATTTGCAGCCCATTTTCAAGCAAAGAAAGGTCGCATGGTTTTAGGTACCATCTGGTGCCATTTCTCACCACGTTCAATGTTGAATGCAACTCGTGTACTTTTCTTCACAGAGGAGTTTGTACTGGCAGCTCAGAGGTTCGGCCAAGTGACTCCGATGGAAGTGGACATCTTGTTCCAGCTGTCTGATCTCTTCGAGCCAACGGGGTCAGTTTAATCGGCCAAATCCCTCGCCGTTGCCGAAACCTTGTGTTTTATTTTCTCGAGCACGCTGTGTTCAAGCACCAATGCCGCAGGTCAAGGCACTCCTCTTAACGCTTCTTTCATCGCACTGCTCTGATTTGAAATGTCCTCCCATTGTCTGTCTTTTTTCCAAGTTATTTTAATAACCTCGCTGAATTCAAGAAATGCATTAACTTTCCCCCCCCCACCCCCTTCATTGATAGTAAATGCTGCTGGCAGTATGGCATTTTGGGTCTTGGGACCTGTGCTCAGCAACCGTGATAAAAAAAAATGGTGACAAACTTTGCCTTCGTTGCAGTCGTACCGCTCGCTGCTGTACCGTTTGCTGTTTGCTGTGCCGGTGTGTGCAGTCGAGTGACCCTGGCAGACATAGAGAGGATAGCTCCCCTCCAGGACGGTGCCATGCCTTATAACTTGGCCGAAGCCCAGCGGCAGGTAAAGGACTCTTCGCCTCTCCACCTACATCTTATTTGTTTAAAGCATCTTTCTCCTACAGTGCAAACAAGGTGCAGCTTATCCTTCATACAACAGTGGTCCTGATAGTGCGGGGAGGCAGGTGGATGGGCTACAGGTATAGACTCATTATACCCGGGCATTCCAGGATCAGCCGCTGGGTCCATTGATTGCTGGTAACCATAGACCCACTCAGACCCTAACATTGGTGGGTGTGCGAATCCAAAATGTTAGAGGTCTGCCCATAAATTTTGGAGAAATGCTGACCCCCCCCCCCCCACAAGGCATGAGGTGATGCTGAATTGTAGGTGCGCTATGCGGGAGGTCTGCATCTGACAATCTGCCACATTACTCTTTGGCTATTTGACAAAAGGCTGAACAAAAACCCACTGGCATGAAGTGGTCATTTTTGTTATTAATGGTCCACTGGAAACTGCTGTACACAAGGGGGTTTGAATAGTGACCACTGGTGGCCGTAAATACACACCTCCCCAGTGCTCAAAGAGAGGGCTCAAGTGTTGCTGTGTGCTAACATGTTTTTCTCGGGTTTATTTGGTGTCTTAACTGACATCACACATTTATGTTGGGTCACTGTTTCCTCGAATTTAGATTCGAAGGGAGAATGCGGGTTGCTCATCACGTACAATTTTTGTGCCATTCCACTGCTTGATGAGGGCCTTCCCACATCGTGCAGTTCGTGGGGGTTATTTGATGATACTTCACCATGATGGTCAATGCGGCCTTGTGAAGGTGGGAAGCCTAGAAGTACATACGTTACAACAATGGATTTTACTGTACTGCCATCTGCTGTTCACCGTGTAGCCACACGCCCTATAACAACCTGGTTATGCATGGTGGTCACCCATCCTAGCGTTTTTTTCCAGGCTCAGACCTGCTTAGCTTTTGAGTTCTGATGAGATCTGGTGCATTCTGGGTGATTTGGTCACAGGTGACGTGTACTTTATTTGAAACGCTATTTTGTCGTACTGGGTGGGTGCACCTCTCCGCTAACGCAGCTGGAATGTCGCGATATCAAAAGGGCCCCGCACCTGTGCGGTGCATTTGTGTGAAGCTGCCACAGGTGAAAATGTGACCACCTAGAGACAACCGCTCAACGCTGCGTTCAGAATGATACACATTGCCTGTTTCCGCTTTGATATGTCTATTGTGCTCTCTTCAGGAAAAAAAATGTGCACACCTCTTAAATGACAGCAGTGTGGCAGTATATGTACAGCCCTTTTGTCACTCCGCTACTGAATGAGGGCCTCCCCATGCCATGCGATTTGTGGGGGTTATTTGACTATACTTCACCGTGCTGGTCAGTGCGGGGTGGTGAAGCGTGAAGAGAGCGAGGAGGGGCCATGATTGCTTACGATATCATTCATCGTTGATGTTAGCCTTGGCCGGGAATCAAGCGCGAGTTCAGAGCGCAGGGTATTGTAACATGTTTTATGCATACGAGCTCTTGAGTACTAATCCTCATTACGTTTGTAGAGGATCGCTATTTGTCGATGCATGTTAAGTGGTCAAACGATCGTTGCAACTTATTGGGGTGGGTACAGGCACGTGTTTTGCACAAACAGACATTTTCCAGTTTATGCTCCAGGCTAAACCTGCTGATCTGGCAGGGTATGTGTGTATGTGTGTGTAGGTGTATACCGGCACTTCCTGAAACAAAGGCTGAAAGGCCTCCAGACATCTGTTGGGTGGGCCATCCCTTCGCGTTTCATCCCTGCGGGGCCGTGTTCCCACAGTAAAACCTGTGCGCGTTTGAACTCAATCTATTTTTGTTATTTGGCTGCTCCTCTCCACAAACTAACCCTGCCCGCCGCCCACAACACCAAAAAACGCTCTGATGCCCCCTCCTCCGCTTGGCCACCCCCCCACAACCGCGCCCCCCACCCCCGGGCAAACTGGGAGGATTACAGGCTGCGTGGCAGAGGAGCTTACCTGCCCTCTTTCTCCGTGCAAAGGGGCCCTGCATTCCTGTAGGGCAGGTGTGCTCACGGGGCCGCGTGCGTAATCCCGCTCGCTTTTACGTGGAGTCGCCAGGCAGTTAAAAAGTTTACAGTGGCCACATTAACTGCTGGACTGGGTTAGGATAAAGGGTCCTTGGAGATATAAAACCAATTCCCTCTAGCTAGGGAGAGGTTGCGCTGTTGTGTTTTTTTCTAGTGGTCACTTAGTTTTGTGTACCTGCCCCCCTCCCACCTCGCGTTGTAAACGTGTTGTTTGGGAAGGGTTTTATCCCATCTGTTTATTTCACAGCAAGCTATGTAGTGTGGAATTTAATTGTTTTATATTCAAGTCCATTATGCATCCCCGGGAGGTTTTCTTAACCTATGAACTAATTAGCTGGAAAGCACCTGATTTTGTCGTATCTCGCAAATGAGCAAATTCGCGCTTGGGATGGGTGACCTCACCATGTTATAAAAAATATGTTATAGGCTGCGACGGGAATATGTGGTAGGATGCAGAGGGCATTGCCGCTAAATCAGTGTTTGTATTGTACTTCTTCGCTCCCACATCTATGCTCCCTGCCTTCACCAACCCACGCTGACCACCAATGTGAAGTATGGGCAAACAGCCCCCACAACCCGCATGGCGTGGAGAGGCACGAATCCAGCAGTGGTTTGACAAAAGGCTGTACGTGCATATGTACTATGGTTTTGTTTGTTATTAATACCGTATTATATTTTAAATAACATTCTTTTAATCCCACGATGCTTTGCTAGCAAGCCTCAGACAAGTCAAGACCCATTCTCATCCAAGTGGCCGAATCTGCCTACAGATTTGGTCTGGGCTCAATTGCCGGAGGTGAGATGGGAACTTCAATTGCTACTCGCCCACACATTCGTTCAAAGATAAAGACAAACACGGGGTGTATCGCATTTCATCAACACAACGCCGTGGAGCACGCGCAAGTTATAGCGGAGCTCGCAACCGCTCGCGTGATTTATTTTTCCACGTTTTATTGCGAGGAGCTGCGCCGATTACGGACGACGCCACATGCGTGGCCGCCGTGTCTCGGCGCGGCAAACACGATCGCCCACGCGAGCTGCCATCGTGACGAGCGTCGTGTTTCGTTACGTGGGGCGTTTTTTCCCCCTCCGCGGTCATTTCAACTTATTTATTTATTTGACTCGAGTGCGTCTGTCACTACGCGTCTAGTATCTTTGGCTCCAGCCAGTCCTGGCCCACAGTGCCACAATGATGTCCTTACAGTTACCCCTCTGTGCATCGGCTCGCTCCATCCAAAGGGTCATTGTTGTATCTGGCACGGTCCTGAGAGCCAGACAAGTCGTTCAGAATGCGCCTGGGAGTTTGGACTCTTGGCTCGTGAATATATAGTTTCAGGTCGAGTTACTGAAATTATCTTGCTTTGCTTGTTATGGTGCATTTTTAGATGTACTGTATAAAAATGTGTGCGCCCACACACACATTGCATGCCTGCACATATCGATGACAAATAAAATGAAAGCTATTTAGATTGTTTTTTATTTGGCGTCACTTGATGATGACTGCTGTCTTGTTCTTCTCTCGCTTAGCACCTCGATTCACTGTCATTTTGGTTGTAATTTTTAATCCTCTTCAAATCCTTGTTATCTTGGTGCTTTGTGTGATGTGGGGGCGTGTGTCATGGGGTCTGTACGTGAAATGCTACAGTGGCAAGATGTTAACTGCCTCGCCTGGTATACAGGAGGTCGTCGATTCGATCATCTAGAGTATTTACCTGCTAGACATGTAGACATGGTAAGCCACTTCATTGGGCTATCATTTGTGGCCAGGTCGCTTCTGAAAAAGAACTATATAGCTCAGTGGGCCTTGCATGGTAAAATAAAAATAGTTTATAGTGGCGTTCTTAGTATGTGCGCGTGTGTATGTGGGTTACTTGGCACGACATGTATGTGATGTATACATGGCGTGGATTGTGCGGGGTGTGTACCTGGTGTGACGTGTGTCATGGATACATGGTGTGGCTGTTGGTGGGTGTGTACATAATGTGGTTTGTGTGGGGTGTGTGCATTGTGTGGCTTGTATAGGGTGTGTACATGGTGTGACTTTTGATGAGTGTACATTGGGTGGCTTGTTTATTGTATATGTAGTGACGCACTCGGAGACAGTAGGAGGCATTCTATTATCAGCCTTCACAGCTCACAAGGGGTCACTACGACTCTCAGTCAGGACAGCTGGCAGACCGCCTGACTGACGATGCCGAGAAGGTGTTGACGTAGATGGCGACGAAGACTCCAGCAGCACGACGAGGGGATCCCACTCTAAGCGACAGCCCCGAGCCTTCGCTCGGGGTCTCCTTTTACCCTCCCAGCGTGGCCTCGCTCTGCCCTGGCCATGCCCCCCTTCTAGAACCTACTCGCGGGTTCCCAGGCTTACCTCACCGTGCCCCCTCTATCACCTTTCCCCTACATCCCTCTCTCTGACTTATCATGTGACCTGCTGACAGACGGCTGCTGCAATTGCAGATCCCCTTCTCTGCCAGCAATCCGTGCTATGCTACGTAGTGACCCGTTCCATGTCACTACACATGTACATGGAGTGCGGTGTGTACGTGGTAAAGTTGTCAATACAATTAATCACAATATGACGATTCTTTTTCTCATACCTTCGTAATTGCATTTCACAGTTGTATCGTCTCGTTTGTGTGCTTTGCTGTACTTCCAGCACACACACGCGAATTAATTAATTATTTAACTGCAATTCACTCGGCATGCGCCTACTATTCTACAGTGGTTTGCACATTTGCTGTTGACGTGTGCGACACGTGTACGCACATAGCGTGACGTTCGTACACACAGCGTGGCGTGTGCGCTTGATGTGCTCCATCAAGTGCGGTGCCTGCTTGCGTGCCTGTGTATGTGACGCGGTGTGCGGGGGGCGCCCGTGTGCCCGTCGTGTAGCGGTGGGCGCCACGGCCGTGTACCCCATCGACCTGGTGAAGACGCGCATGCAGAATCAGCGCTCGACCGGCTCCTTCGTGGGCGAGCTCATGTACAAGAACAGCTTTGACTGCTTCAAGAAAGTGGTGCGCTACGAGGGCGTCTTCGGCCTCTACCGAGGTGGGTGCACTCGCACAAAGACAAAGGTCACCCAGCGTGGTCATTGCAAGAGTGCTGCGGCAAGTGAAGAATAATACGACACACGAGGGGGTTGATGTGGATAGCACCATGCCCGGCCAAGCTTTATCTCCCCAGTGGTGATGTTTACACACCGCACCGGGTACTAATTTAAGGCTGAGAGGACCTGGGGGGGAGGGCCAGGACCGTTATAGATATTTTGTGACTGATTTTGGCTTTTAGCCAGAATCAAATTCGGCAGGTTTGTAGCGCAATGCGTTGACCACTGCACCACCACTCCCCACACTCCTCGGCACACACCACCACTCTCCACACTCCTCAGCACACACGCCACTCACTTGTGCACGTATACACATACAGCCGATTTGCCAATCCGCTGCTGAATGAGTGTTCCTCACCCCTTGCGGGTAATGATGGTTCATTGAGCATACTTCAGTGTGGGTTGGTGAAGGGAGCTGCGGGGCCCAGGATTGGTTCAGCTATAATTCACCTTTGATGTCAGCCATGGATGGGTATCAAACTCAGCTCACTGTGTTCATAGAGCAGAACGCCATCTACTGCACCACGGGGAGCATAGATGTGGGAGCATACTCAACTGACTTATGCAATTTCTACTTATATACTTTATATTTATTTATTTTTAGTGACTTGTTTACCGTTTCTATATTTTATTTTTCTATATATTTTACCGTTTCTATATATTATTTTTTGGTGTTGTTGGTGTAACATTCTGATCCGCCCCTACTGGACTGTGAAAAAGAGCTTCATGGCTCATAGGATTACTCCAGTCGAAATAGTTTTTTCTGATTATGACTTTGTCACATTGTGTTCTCTGCTGCCCCCAATGTAGTCTTGCAGTAGCCTATTCAAGCACTATCCTGCTTAACATTCGAGGTTTGCTGAGATGGAGTGCTTCCTCTGTGGTTTGGTCATAGGCGCCATGCATGTACCTGTGGCTAAAAACGCAGGGAACACTCGTGTCCATCAAATGGTCTCGACAAGCCTAACTGCTTAGGGTGGTACACCTGGCCATTTGCCGATGTGGAATTGGGTGGCAATTTTAGCTTCGAGTGGTGACACTGCCACCTGCTGCCACAGCCTTGTCCATGCCTTTGCGAGTCCCCGTCACGCGCAGGATGTGGGTGTGCTTCGTTCATTTGCCTGTGAACTCATCCGCCTGCCAATAGCATTTGCGCCGAAGAAGGACGCGTTCACATGATGGTGATGTGGTTTATGACGGGATTTAAATGCTATTTGCGTGCATGTACGCATATTTTAATTAGACATCCATCATCAGATTAACCCAAATTTAAAATAAACTTACATCTCTCTGTCAATCCGTTGCTGGATGAAGGCCTCCCCACGATATGTTGGTCATGGCGCTTCTTTGACTATAATTCATGCTGGTCTGTGGGTGTTTGTAAAGGGGAGAGACCCCAGCACCGGTTTACATATAACATGCCGCCGATGATATCTATGGCGTGTTGAAATGCATGCTTGGAATTACACTAAGAGACGGAAAGGAGAACCATGGATTTAAGAACACGTGCAGGTTAGTGACATCATGCTAACTGTTCAGAAAAGTAAGTGGGCTTGGGTAGGGCGCGTTGCTACAAGGGACTGATGGTAATGTTTGAGCGGCAACCCGGGAATTTAACAAGTCGTGAATTGGAGTGATGAAATCAGCTCGCATGTGGGTACTAGGCAGATTCGTGTCACCGTAGGACGACGAGAGATGGTGCCGTGTATTGACCATTGCCGATTACGATATTAAATTCGGAAAGTCGAAATAAATTTCCCGTTCGCTTTAAACAGCTGGAGCCGTGGAATTGGTGAGCGGGCCGGGCGCAGCTCCAGAGTAGCACGGCGCCCACGTGGCAGACTGCAGTTTGGAGGGCCAGTGTGGCCGTGCCGTGCCGAGCATTTGACGGACAGCTACGTCCTGAGGGCTCGGCCGTGGGTCGCTGCCCACTCACCTCGCCACTTACCGGCGGCCGTTGTGCGCCAGGGAGCCGTGACGAGGGCCAAACACGCTGGAGCGCCTCTCTGGGGAGAAGGAAAAATGCGCGCTATTTCTCGCGGGCCAGCGGACATGCGTGCGTGCTCTGTTTTCACCTGCCAGTCGCACGCGTTTCCCCTGTGTCCCTGCTGATAGACAGCCGTGCCAAGCCAATTCCGCACACTGCACATTTTCAGTCGTTGTGTTTTTTTGTTTACTTAAAAGTTGCGTGTGCAGCATTTATAGTACGTTGAGCATAAGTAGTTCGACAGGATTTTTTTATTATTATTTTTTAAATATTTTTTTAATTTTTATTCACTTTATTTTAATTGTTATTTTTCTATATACGTGACTTTACCGAAAGAACCAAAGAATAAAGAATATAGTTAGATTTATGCATACGAAAAAGCTTACTTGTGCATTAGTCAATACTTATTGACTTAATCATCATCTTTATGATCAGCTGTGCTCTATGCAATGCTGGATGAAGGCCTCAGCATCTCCAACATTATTCTTGGTCCTGCGATGCCACAATCCGTCTCGCTCTTGTACTACAAGAGTTGATCTCATCACTTCCATTATCCCGGTGGTCATCCTCTCGGGCACGTTCTCTCCTATATCTGCCCATCTGTCACCAGTTTCATCCATCAGATGTCATTCTTAACCGTGTGTCCTGCCCAAGCTTAATTTTTTAAACTTTTTTCCATATTTTTTTCCTCCCATTTTCTGTGTCTCATCCAAGTGTCGGATCTCTCATGGTATCTAATATGCACTGATTGAAAAGTTGTTCTTTAGGCACATTTCTAAATGCACTTCATCCTGCTTACATTTGCCTCGTTACTTCACAATTTATATTCTGGTCCGCCGATGATTATTTCCTTAGATTGTTCGTACACCCCTGTGTGTATCCAGTTGTGTCCCTCGAACAACGTGTTTTTCTTCCAGCAAACTTGTCTGTATCCTTGGCCCAACTTTGCAGCCTTCTTTGCTTACTTGAGTCATAGCTCCATAAAACGTGATCAAAAGCAGTGGGCCATGTTTAAACGTGAGCAATTGCATATCCAGGAGCAAAAACTTTTTTTAGTTTTTGAAACAGAAGTTTAACTACCATCTCATCTTCAAACCAGTGCGCGTGCATATTTTTATTTCACAGCAAATGGTATTCACGATTTAGTGTAGTTGTGTGGGTGTGCGTTATATAATAAACCCTCCTGACTTTGTGTGGCTGATTGACCTTTTTTGGGGAGTGCCTGTGGTTTCGTGCGCATGCTTTTGAGCCTGCACTCGCGTTCAGCGTGACGCCGTGGCTGACTCTGCCTCCGCGTGTTTCTCTCTCTCTCCCCCTTTCAGGTCTCATTCCTCAGCTCCTTGGAGTGGCTCCAGAAAAGGCCATCAAGCTTACTGTAAGTGGCACAGTTAAATGGAGAAATAAATCATTGCTGTTGTTTAAATTAACAGTGGCCGAGGTCACGCTGCGTTTCATAACGTTCCTCACCGGATAATGAAATCTTAGTTGCTGTGTAATTTCCCTTGGGTTTCTGGCTATAACGTACATTAATTACGTCAATTTGTAGATTAAAATTGAAAAAAAGGAAAGAAATCAGAATTTCATTAATCTAGCTTACGGACTGAATTAGTTTATTGGCTCACGCGGCTAAAAACTCATTATGTCAAAGTTTATTTTTGAACGTGAAATTGTACGTTGCTTTTTTTTCACGTTAAAATCTGCACTATGTTAGACGTGTGCATCGTTTTGAGTCGGCGTGATCCCACCTTTGGGCACGACGGGAGCCCACGCGGGCTCGCGGTGTTGGACACACATCAGGCAGCGTCTGAGCAGGTTTGGATAGGAGAGTGAGCGAGCAGACGGATCTGCTGGGGAGGAGCCTGTGGGCTTGCGGCTCGTAACGACGAGTGTCGAAGGAAATCCACCGGGACGTTGCCTCCTTTGCCCTGAACATATTTTCACGTTTTTTTTTTGTAATGAGAAACACACCCTTTGCCAGGACGTGTTGTGCCTTATTCACAAATGGATAGGTGCGTTTTACTGCTTGCGTGCGTTTGTGTTTCGGTAACAGAAAGTTGGCAAAAACTGAATAAAATCACAAACTGGATGTGTCACGTTGGACTCTTAAAGACCTCCATCAGGGATGCAGAGGGCCTTCTATCTGACCTGTGACCCCACTTATTCCGTGTCATTTATATGGCCTTTCTCATATAGTTGCAGTGACTGTTAAAAGAACATTCATTTAGGTGGGCCAGATGGCTCACAGCTGGTAACACTGAGAAGCCTAGGTTTGAATTCAGGCAGCCGCCTCTGATTAAACTGGGTTCTCGAGTGTAGTCAGTTGATGGTCTCAGTTTGGTAACTGATAATAGTAAAACAAAAATCACAATAAGTTTTTTTCTGCAATTAAGTTGGCCAAGTTATGCAAATGAAAAATATCAGTTTGGCTGCCATGTGACGAATAATTACTCGGTGGTGAAATGAGTGGGAAAGTGCTGCCTCCCCATTGTTGGAAAACACAGGTCACAATATGGAATAATCGGAGGCAGTTCTGTGATAACTACTTATATGGCCCTTTCTCTAAAACAAAGGTTTTTTTATGCTCTGTGAGTGATGTGAAGAGATACTTCATCTCATGATATGACACCAATAGCGCAGTTGGGATAACAATTTTTTTTAATATGCTTTTGAAAATGTAAAAAAAGAAAGGGACTAGGGTTGCTGTTGGTGAAGTGTGGTCCTGTGCGTGCTTCTGTTGGTGAGTTGCAATACAAGTCACCGGCTGGGCGTTTCTTTCAGATGAATGATTTCATAAGGGATAAATTCACGAAGAGGGACAAATCCATCCCTTTGATTGGAGAAATCATCGCCGGGGGCTGTGTGAGTATTGGGTGTCACCCCCTTTTCGTGACCTATACACCCCACTCCTCTCCCCCACCCTGCCCCCTACCTTCCAGCCCCACCCTTAGCTTGATGCTGAATCTGGCTCTCACCTAATCACTGGCATTCTTACAGAGGCACAGAAGGTTTATAAAAAGCGAGCATTCATGTACCCGAGCCATAAATATAACTTAAATCCGAAGCGAATGCGGCAAAATTGCATCAAATTTGGCTTCAGAAAAGGTTGAACAAGAATAACTTGGAAACTGCGGGAAAGAAAATAGTAATTCTGCTTGCCATCCAATAGTGTTTAGAAACAAACGTTTTTGTTTATAACCTATCTTTGTACCTTTTTTATTATATGATAGCTTGATATGTACTTTGAAGTTGTATTAGATGAGAAAACCTGTCTTAGGTTTGGTAGAGCAGGCTTATCAATGCTGGGAATGTCACAGGTAAACAGAGGCTTCATTTAGTATAACCTGCACAATAGAAAGACAAATGTTGAAAGAGCTGTGACTGAAAGGTGCCCTTTTTCGTGGCTGTAATCAGCTGACCAAGGTTATGACCTCTGACTCTTCAAGGGTCACTGTGGTTTCATCAGCAGTTCGCTCGAGGGCAGGTAGAAAATGAGAGGTGGCCGGGCATACGAGGTACGGCGAGATACGGGCGAAGGACGTAATTTTCAAAAGTCTGTGGCCAAAACTGCCCTCTTCTAACCTTACACCCACTGCAGCCTCTGGTTACCCAACACACAAAACCAAGACAAAGATCCCCTGTATAGCCTAAACAGACTATTGGGGCAAGTGCTGTTAGCGGGCACTTATGAAGGCCAGCACTGCACACGAGGGGGTGAGTGGCCAGCACTGTGGCCGGCCGCCTTTGTCTCCCTAGTGGTCATGTTTACACTTCGCACCAGGTACTCATTTGGGACTGAGGCGACATGGCGGAGGCTCAGGACCAATTCAAATATTCGCCACTGTTATTGAGCGTGAGTGGGAATTGAACTCGGATCGGTGGCTTCGGCGACCTGACCCAGCGTACCCACGCACGCGCGTGCGTGCGGCCATTGGGTGAAATGACAATCGGACAAGGCCTTCGGGCAGAGTTTTCGAAGCAGCCTTTAACTTGCCAACGAGATGAGCCCACTCGGGCGGGCTTAATTTTTAATTAAGCGCGAGGGGTATTTGGGGATTGGTAAAAAGCAGTTGAGTCGCTGCCTCCCCCCTGAAACCCGCGGTTAATTTTCCTTTGTAGTTTTAACGGCGGGCACTGGTGAAGAGGGACATTGTAGTTTGGAGCGGATTACAACGCTCGGCGGCAAACTAAGAGCAGGTTATCACGTTACACAGCACCTTGCTTAAACCTCGCCTAAGTCCACCATTGTCGGCGGTGCGTTATTGCTTAGAGAGGCACTACATTTTCTGACCTCCGCATGAACTCGGCGTTGAGGGGGAGAGGCAATAAACAAAAGTGTTGGCGTGTCTCTGCCACCAAAGTAAATTTATGTACTTTAATTTCGTGAAAAAGTTGCACGTTATAATTATGGTGCCCCCGTGCCTTGACATGTTTCTTTTTGAAGAAAGATTCAGCTCGTTACCTCGAAGCCGCTGGCTTATCTTGGATGCCGATTACTTAAGAACGAGAAGCGTGTCACTTTGTGTACAAGTTGTCTCCCAACATCATCGGCAAAAGAAACAAAAGGAAAAGACTTTTATTTATAACAGAGTTCCAATTACAAATTTGGCAAAAATGCAGCTTGTACATTTGTTATTATCTGCTGCTTGGTGCCAGGTTGAGTGGCATCTTCCCACCCATACCTCCGTTCATACCGGAAGATCGACCAGCCTTTGTTACGACGTCTGTCGTGTAGACGGGAAACACAAAGCCTGAACAAGCAACGGATAACGGGGGCAACCGGGCGAAAGGTTGTTGTCTTGGCTCCCTACCGTACGAAACGAGAAGCGTAGAGGATCTTGTGCAGCCCAGTGATGCTCAATCCCTCCATGTGGGCACAGGCGGGTGGCTCCCAGGTCATCTTCACCAATCCGCTGGAGATTGTCAAGATCCGCCTGCAGGTGGCTGGCGAGATCACAACGGGCCCGCGTGTCAGCGCCCTCAACGTGCTGCGTGACCTGGGCTTCCTGGGCCTATATAAGGTGATTGACCCCCCTCCCCCCCCCCGCCACCCCTTGTCGTTCGACAAATTGTTACAATTTGGGGTCTGCTTCGTGTTGCCTGTCATGTACGTATGTTTTATTTCGTCCCAGCACATTTGCATGTAATTTGTAATTTGCATACATCTTAACCCTTTCCCGTTCCGAGACGTCTGCAAGTTGTGGGGTGGGTCCCGTTTGTCGCTGAATCTCGGAACGTGCAAGGGGTTCGGCGTTTAATTTTATTGAGGGAGGCATAGCGCCGTTGTTTCTAAATACGTGTACTCACTGCAGAGAACTGTAGCGACACGACCGCACTCTATGATAGCTGGTGCCAAACTGTGCCACACGCTCACCCACATGTCCATGTGGAAGCCTCGGTATGTCTTCCGACCTGAAGATGTATCGATAAAGTTATTTTATTTTAGTTTTTCTTCCGGTTCTGGAATCGGAATGGCAAAAGGGTCTAATTTATTTTTGCATATGTGATGTCATTGATGTATCTTGAGTGTGAGAATTGATTCTAATGGGTGGATCGTTACCCACCACCACCACTATAGCCACAACCTTTAACACGTTGAACAAAATACTGAGTGTTGACATCACAACAATAGTTTTTCCTACATGCATGTACCGGAACTACAGCTGGTCAGTACTGTTTCCCTGCAAGCTGAGACGGAAGTTTGTTTATTTTCACACGTGCACACAGCATGGCAGCCTGATTGCAGTGCTGTACTGCACGAACGCAGCGCGGAACGCCCATAGTCTCCCGGCACCAACGTCAGAACATTCGCGCAAAGGCACGTGTGTGTGCAAAAGAACGCGAGGGTTTAACTTTTTTGATTGGTGCACGATTCGCCATTTTTTTTTTAAATGGCTCGTAGAGGAACCCGTTGCTCTGCAACGGAAAATAAAAAGCAGGTGTCATTTTCGTTCTTTTCTCACAAGCCTGTACTCCGAGCAAAAATCTCACTTCTTTCCTTAATAATAAACCAGCAAGATCATATGTTTGTGAGGTAATATTTTTCATGTTCTCTAGGTTTTACAGAGTGTGGCGAAATATTGACATTAATACGAGCACGAATAAAAAATGCAAGACTACATTTTAAATGAACCGCGTCAATCTTCTGTATTTGTTACTCCCACCTCTTCGGTGTCACTTTTATTATTATACGTCTTCCAAAAATCTTCTGCCGTTTCAATTCAATGTCCATAATAGCGTTTTTTTTTAGGTTAGATCGCGTAAATATAAATGTCGTTAAAACCTGCCACCACCCGACACAGGTTTAACGACGCATTCACGCGATCTAACCGAAATAAGCCTCTTATGGATAATATTGGTCGCGAAAGCCTACATGTTAAATTAATTCAATGTATATTTATTATGGGTAAAATGTCGTTTAGCCAGTTACCAAATATTGTTTCAGTGGCAACGGCCCACAGCGGCCACTATCAATATAGTTAATTTTGGGGGTGGAGAGGAGCCCAGCCAGCAGCCAGTCTGGTAACTTGAAGCATAGATAATTTCTAATCGTAGTCAATGATTCCTAATTTTGACCGTGGATTTATTTTCCCTTCGCTGTATTTCACACTCTTATTTAAAGCTTTCGTGACTACATATTCAGAATATGTATTTCACACTGTGCGAGTTTTTTGCGGTTTTGTCACCGTTGGAGAACGAATCGCGTGCGTCTGCCTCTCTTTCCCGCTGATGCCCCGCTGATGCCGCATTGATGCCTCACCATGTACGCAGGGTGCCAAGGCGTGCTTCCTTCGCGACATCCCCTTCTCCGCCATCTACTTCCCGGTGTACGCGCACACCAAGTCCAGTTTCGCAGACGAGAAAGGCCATGTGGGGCCACTGCACCTGCTCACGGCCGGTGCCATTGCAGGTCAGCAAGCACGGGTCGGGGTGCGGCCCCACGTTCAATGAAAAAGGGCCCGCGCACGCATTACTCACGTTACATTTTAAGCGGCCGCTGTATTTTTAGGAACCGCCATTTAATATTACTGATTTTTTTTTTTTTTTCCAATTTCACGCAAAGCTATAATTTTACACATTGGCCGTACGTGAAAATGTTGTTTACATTTCTGTCAGAGGTGTAAATTGCGTTCGGCCTTTTGACCGGCCCGCCGTTGCTAAGACGCGCCCTCCATGTTAGGCGGTCGCGATGGTACGTCCGACCACCGCGCAATTCATATGCCGCCCTCCGTCTCTCTCTCTCTCTCTCTGTAGGCATGCCGGCCGCCTCCCTGGTCACTCCGGCCGACGTGATAAAGACGCGTCTGCAAGTGGCGGCGCGTGCCGGCCAGACCACATACAGCGGCGTCATAGACTGCTTTCGCAAGATCCTGAGCGAGGAGGGCCCTCGGGCCCTGTGGAAGGGCGCTGGAGGTATGGATTAACTCTGCCGCCCACCAGGTCGTGGCGAATGTACACGCCTTGCGTTGAAACGCGTTGCTGAAGGGCAGCTTTGTGCGCGTGGGACGCCAGCTCAAGCTTCAAAAATGCTCAGCGTTTTGTGCCTGCAGTACATGAGAGCACACGTGTTATATTTTTGTTCCTTTATGTAAAAAATAGATTTTTTTCCGGTAATTTTAACCACGCAACAAGCGTGGTTAAAATTACCCTGCCATATGACTGATCTTTGTCGCATGTCAACCCAACTACTTTATTACACTTGTCAGAGCTGGAATTTAGCCATATTAAGTTCAGACCGAAATATGATGGGTTTTTTCAATACATATACTGTCATTGTGTATGGGACTGAGAGGATCGACTCACGACACTTGATAATCTAGTTTAATCACAGGCGGGTGCCTGAATTTAAACCCAGGATTCTCAGCAGTGCCATCTCAACGTTCTGACGAATTCTGAGCCACCAGGTCTTCCTCTAAATGATTTGCCTGAACCCTGCACCCAGTTTTCACCGTAGCAGAAAGCCTCGGAGCCTGTTAGACGCGTGTGATTTGCCATCGCCGCTCTCGCTGCGCTGCTTGAAAGAAAAGACAAAATGAGCTCCCCATTGTCGCGTTTAAACTTCTGCATGTGTATTAATCCGTCGCCTCTGCTGACGGAAGTTGCAATGTTGCTCGCAGCTCGTGTCTGCCGCTCGTCTCCGCAGTTTGGCGTCACTCTCCTCACGTACGAGCTGCTCCAGCAGTGGTTTCACGTCGACTTCGGTGGCCGGTACTGCTACGCACCATCGGGCCCGCGCACTGTTGACACCCCCACTCGGTTATTTAAGCGGAAACACTTCCGCTCTTATTCGTGGGTCACAATTCCTAAAAGCTGTATTTTGCCCGTGGTTTTGTTGACGTTTGTATATATATAAAAATAAAAAACTGCGATGTGTCAGAAGTTTCATTGATTTATCACCAGGGCCTGTTACTAAGGGATTGTTTAACACTAGACCATAGGCTTCTGTCATGTATTCATATAAGTAGTGTATGGAATACTGTTAGTAAATACAGAGCAAAGTTTATGACAGTTACACAGTTGATATAGAGCTATTGAAGTTGGCATTTTTTTGTTTCATTACTTACCATTTGTAAATTTAACGCAGTCCAAAGTCAGCCGTATGAATGGACACACCACAGTCGATCGCCAGGTCGCGTGTGGTGTAGTCGGGTGTGGATACTCCCATCTCTTCCAATAAGCCTGACCTGGCCTGCATGGAGGAGTAGGTCAAATACACTCTAGAGGGGTTAGCTAGGGCTCTAACTTTTGGAGGCCCTTTCTGTCAGCAGTCGAGTGAGTAATAGATTGCAGGGCTGTACCTTCACCTTTTAAAATTAGTTTGATGTTGAGCATTTTACTTGTCGCCATTAAAATAGGCCTTGGTTAGCATGCACCCTTAATCCGCCTGCGAGCGATGGAACCGCTACGCGTCACCGATTTCTCCTATTGACGCACGTTCTCTCTGTCCCCCCTCCCGCCCCTGACCGAGCAGAAGGCCAGAAACGGTACCCAAGTCTCCTCTTGCAGATCTGCCCCCAACCCGGGTCGACCACATTGGAGGCTACCGCCTGGCCAATGCCACCTTTTCCGGCATCGAGAACAAGTTCGGCCTCTGCCTGCCTAAGTTCCACGTGGCTGGAGGTGGTGGCCCCACATCGGCTGGCCCGGTGGCTTCGGTGGCGCCCCTCGCTGTGCCCCAGGCCTAGGTGCAGCTGCTGCTGTCGCCCTGTTCCATTTGCGCAGCTGAACCTTCTTATTAGTTTGTGGAACAATTGTTTCACCAGTTGCAATGGTGGGTTATATATTTCCGTCTGTTCTTTGCTCAATGGTTGGAATAGTACGTATATTTTCAGTTTTTTGATGACCAAGTTATTGTGGTAGGGGGTTAAACATTTCAATTACTTTCTTTGCTAACTGGTTGCCATGGTGGTTTATCCATTTTTAGTCAGTCTTTGGTGACCAGCCATGCAATTATTTCAGCAGCCAATTTCAACTAGAAATTATTGAGATGTACTAGAGCATTCGTTTGTTTGAGACACTTTATATGAGTGGATATTTCCACTTACAGTAAAAACCCTTGAATGATTTATCTCGTGAGTACAGGTGGACCTGTCCCATGCCTGTCACATCTATTCGACCAGCTGTTGGGATCCGCTCTGCAATCTGCTATCGTGATCTTACTTCTGTTAACTGTGCAGAATGCTGTCATTTTAAGAGCCTGGGATGATTTTTTTGCACAAGTTCTGATGGTAAAGGTTTGTAAGCAATTCAAATTCTAATGCGAATGTATTTTACTCGAGAACAGAAAACAGTGGTAACCATATGTGAAAAAAATTATAAACTTTTTTTTTCTCCTCAGACCGGTAGGTGTGTTTGCGCGTTTTGTCCTTGGCATTGATGGTGAAATGGCAGTGATGGAATTATCCTCTGCTGCTGCTGTTTTTGTCTCATAACCACACAACTTGGCTTTATTGGGTCAATTGTGATTTGACTCATGGCAGAAGAAACATCCGTCTAACAATGCCTAGTGTGGTACGTACAGTAATATTGCACACAATGCGGCCGATATATTTTATTGCAATTTGAATGTAACTGTGAGTCCGGTTCATTGTTTTAGTGAAAATGTATTCCGCCAAATTCATTTGGCTTGCGAGTCCCCCCGCGCACCAGCATCTGTGTGTCCGTTGCACTTAAACTGGACTCGCAGAAGTTGCAAATGTATGCTGAAGACAGGGTCATTACGCACTCGATAACGCGCGGACCACAGAGGCCTGCTGGAGAAAATTGTAAAAATGTGTGTGCTGTTCGGACTTGCACTTGTGAGCTCGTACTAAGTGCAAGCGTGTTATAAGGTCTGGCTGCCTTGTTTGCCATCCAAAGGACGTTCCTTTATAAGATGCCTTGGTTTGGGAGACTGAGAAATGTAGGCTTCATTGCTCCATCTTCAAGCATTAGAAAGGTACTCAGTTTTTGTTTATTTTCTATGGGTGGCATCGGCCTTAAATGCTGTACAACAACTCACAAAGCCACGGTTGCAGAAGATCAAGGCTTCACGTTGCCCATGGTTGCTTGCAGTGAACGTGTTTTATTGTTGTGTCCATTTCATTTACTACAAAATCTTTACAGTTAAAGAGTTTGTGTTTTAATCTTAAAATGTTCCGATTTTTGTCTTCCTTTCGTCACGGTATACCGAATCAATATGTTCTGAATGTAAAACACGGAAGCACCTTGTAGGTTTATATAAGCAATGTATACATTTCGATTTAAAGCTTTCGTGACTGCAATGATTCATCATCTTTGATTCTTTCGGTAAAGTCACGTAGAATGAAAATAAAATAATAAATTGATAAAATAAAATAACACAATAATATTCTCACGACGTTTCGGCCACAACACAAGCGGCCTTCATCAGGTGAAGGGACGATGAAGGCCGCTTGTGTTGTGGCCGAAACGTCGTGAGAATATTATTGTGTTATTTTATTTTATCAATTTATTATTTTATTCTCATTCTACGTGACTTTACCGAAAGAACCAAAGAAGATCAATATATAAATGTTCTGTTAAAATTATTGTTTGTGATCACTCTGTAAGCTCACATTCTTAATGGACATCTTTATGAATGCAGTTAACATAGGAAACAATACACTGAGGTTCGTTATGAAAATGTATCGAGCAGTTATAACCCTTGCGGAGGGTTATCTGAACAATGATTAGCCCAGTATTCAGCTGCTAGCATTCCGGCCTAACAAACATTTCCCATTTTTATAAGGATTTAGACCGCTTTTATGGATGCATTCTGTTTTTGGTTATTGTACCTCCTGCATTCTTCCTGAATCTCTTGAAAGTCCGCAGCGGTGTTTACCCGAAAGCATTCGTTGTGTATGGCGGAGCCACTTTTCTCACTGATTTGACCTCCTTTGTCACGAACGTGATCTGTTCTCATAAACTTATAAATGCACATTCTAATGAAAACAAGCTGAAGTGCCGTGTCTCTTTGGTAGCTTAGCATTTCATACGTTTGATCATAAAACACACCACAAACCATTGTCGTGTTGACTTTGGGACCATCTAAAGCACAGTTGTAAAAAAATATGGACGAAAATAAGTGTTGATTTAAAAATTCGCATCCCTGAATTATGTAGCGAGTCGTTGGTTTATTTTTTTCATGTTTCAGTACAGCCTTATTCAATTGGATGCGACCAATCCACGTGACACCCGCTGCCCTACACTAATATCTAAACTGGCGCAGTTGCAACTATTCACCTTATATCATTGGACTCCCAACTCACTGCAATTCAGGATCTGGTTCAGCGATGACATTGCAACGTGTACATATAATCTGGTAATTTAGAGGCGCACTGCATTTTTTTTCAGGATGTTTTGAACATTTGGCTTTTGCTTTGAAGCTCATGGTCAAAATGTCTTTTGCCAATTAAACCTAAGAAGGTGCCCTCGGTTGTCAAAAATAAGCATATTCCCATAGAAGCATATCATTGGTTGCTTCCTTTAGTTAAACCTATATCCTTCCATGGTGCAGAATCAATTATATGGTCATTGGGTTAGACTTGGCTGATAGATATTCCCCCCAGTGCCAAAGATTCAATTCAAAGGAGTGCACTGTGCCTTACGAGGATTGTGACGCTGTCTTGACACGTACACCAATGCTGTTGCTGGGTTTTTTTTTATTTACGATGTTACCTCCATGTTTTTGGGGCGTTCCGCGCTCTCCCTCTCTCCGTAGTCAGTGTTCGCCCGAAGAATGGATGCTATTGTTGAGTGCGTTTTGCGTCAGACGGAGCCATATCCAATGCAGTGCAGTGACGCGTGGGATTTGCCATTGTTGCGCCGGCCCAGGCGAATCGTAATAGGAATGGCAAAACGTAGACGTTGCTAATTACCGAGGACCTGTAGCTTCCGTACCGAAGTGGCATCTCCGTTGGCCGTTTTTTGTTACAAAATGGGCTCGTGCAGGAAACCACTTTGCCTCTGCATCTGGATCGAGATCAAATAAATACAGTCAATACGCCTATAATTTTTTTACGGATCCCATCAGCCACCACTGCCTTCTGGGAGCATTTCCCCCCCTCCCAGCAACATTGGTTTAATACGAGAACTCTTTGAATGCAGTGTCTCATCAGCAGTCAAGCTTGCTTAGACGAATGCTGGTGGACTGCCAAATGTGTATAGGCAAAGACGTATGGCTCCTGATTCGACGCAAGGGTTTTTTTTAATCACGTCACAATGATCATTTGCGTCATTGTGGAGTGTATCTGTGTTTATGGATTGAGTTAGGTGTGTTTTATGGTCATTAATGACCAGTTAATGCTGCTGTAGTCACTACAATGTGACTACAGAAGGTTGCTGGTACAATCTCCCGGCCCCGCAGTTAAAACAATGGTGCAAATTTCCTAAATTCTCCAACCCCGACCCCCCCCCCATCTGTCCACCCAACAGTATAATGGGTACAGGTGGCGGTGGGGAAAAATGTGGGAACTGCCACCTCAACCAAGACATGTATAGCAAGTGTGGAGAGAAGTAGCCCACAATACCCTTTAGAGGGGCTGCCTATAGTGGAGGCCCTTTCACCAGCGCGAGCAAGCAATTGCAGGCCAGCGCTTTTGCTTTTCAGAATCAGACCATTTAAACTGGAGGAATCCGATGAGCTATGAAGCTCTTTTTCACAGATTGCTTTTAAGGCACGGAATTGTGGCTTGCAATTACAATTCATAACACGTTTAATTTATCATAGGAACATAAAAAATGCAGCTGCGGAAGTGCCTGGGGGTGCGTGTACACCTGTGTGGGTGGTGTTAAAAAAAATCATGGCCCTGTCACTCAGCAGAGGTCCAGTATTTTGGAAAACAGATACTATAGCAACGTCGGTCGCTCTCACCTTTTTTTTTATAGCTGCCGTGCGCTATGCTGGCATGAAGGTGAATCACGAGTTTCCAAAGCCAAAAGCTGACATTTAACAAACACCCCCCACGCGTAAACCTGAAGTGGTTATGCGCGTGTTAAAGCAGCCTTCTTTAGTGAAGTAGTGATTTCGCAAATCCTCATTTGAATCACTGGCGGAAACGACTTGTTTTGTCAATATTCTTCAGTGACAGTACGCAGAACTTCCAGCAAATGTGAAAACTATCACTACTATGATGAGCCAAGAATGTCTGTGTGTAACGCGCGTGACGTCACTCCACATGCCGCACCCCCCCCCCCCATCATTAATATTCATGAGCGGGTGGATTTTTACACTTACGCAGAAGGTCGAGCGTAATTAATTTTTCTTTCGCAAATTCGCTTTAAGTTTCACTTTCCTTATTGAAAGTGAATGTAATAAATAATTCTACACAGCAACAAAGTGGATTTGGTGTCTTTATTTCTCCAGCACTTGAGACAAATCGAAGGTCAGTTATATACAGTGCTACATTAAATTGCAGTGAAGTGTTTGATGACATTCTTTTGTGCAAGATTCACTGCCGTTAAATTTACACAAGATACAATTATACTCTGAATCTTGATTTGAAGCTTTCGTGACTGCTGGAATCCATACTCTTTGGTTCTTTCAGTAAAGTCACGTCGAGTATAAAATAGAATAAATCACGACGTTTCGGTCGCACACAAGCATCCATCATCAGGTGGGAAAGCATGGTCTGCTGCTGAGGCAGACTTTTAATTACACTCTGCTCAATTTTTTCGTAAATATTATAGCTTCCGTCCTAGGACGGGCAAACACTAGTATGACAATAATACACGTGTGTGTGTGTGAAGAGTAGTGGAAAACTAAAATGGCGATCCATTTATAGATACCCCACAAAAGGGATATATTGTTGAGAACGAATGCATTCTCAAAGCCTCTGTACGTCTCCCACATATCTCATTGCACGTATTAAATCGTTTCACACTTGCCCGTAGGACGTGGCGTCATCTCTCTCGCAATATTCACTCAGTTGAGAAAAGAGTTGACGGTCGTTTGAAATCAGTGGGGTATATGTACATGAATTCACCCTGTAACATTAATCGGCAGAATGCTTTAGGTTTTGTTTGTGTTTAGTTACAATCACACTTCATTCTCGCGAAGTGAAGATATTGCTGCTGCTGTTGGGTCTTTGGTTTAAAAGCCGCCCCTTAAATGTCAGTCAGCCGGTCGGTAAGTAAATAATTGCGTCACACGAGTTATGCCTCGCTCGCCGCCAGCGACATTCGCCTGTGATGGGCGAGCGAGACGCAACATCAGAGAGGCGCGGGGAGAGAGAGAGTGGGACGCTTTCTTGTTAAGGGGGGGGGGGGGTGTGGGGGGCCCTTAGTAGCATTTTTGCCTTAAACGTCGCCGCGTTTCACAGTTGAGCGGCGAGCTGTAATTTGTGGCTCCTGGCGGAGCTGGGAAGCTGTAATTAGCCACGTTGGGGCCCGCTGGCTCATGGTAGGCAGCTATGCACAGTCTGCCTTTGACAGAGGGGTGGACATGCCCACCGCCACGAGGCCAATTGCACGCGCACGCCGTGGCTTCTTTACGCGTCTGCACGATCTTGATAACGCGGTTGATTTGACTTGAGCGGCGCTCTGGTCAGATTTCTCGACTTGCAGTTGCAAGCTGGTGATGTCCAATCCCTGGTCGCCGGTCGACGTGAGTCTGCAGTTCTACCTAGCTCAAATAAATATCTCATGAATCATTTACAGCCTTTTGTCAATCTACTGCCGGATGAATGCCTTCCCAAAAAACCTGCCGGTCGTGTACGTTGTTTTACCAACGCTGGTCATGACTGGTTTGTAAAGAGGTGGAGGAGACCAGGACCGGATTAGATATGACTTATTGTTTATCTTTTTTATAAGGCGCAAGCATTACAGAGCGCCACTTGACACTGATGTTAGCTGTGGCTGGGAATCGAACTCGGACGATCGGGTCAACGGTGGTCAGCGCCCTTATAATGGCTTGCACTATATGCGGGCAATCCCCGACTTAATGAACGGGTTCCATTCCTGAGACCCGTTCGTAGGTCTAAACGGTTCGTTATTTGGAACACACTAATGTACTGTATTTAACTGCACGTACGATCAGTGTTATAAAATGTATATTCTTGGGTCTTTCGGCAAAGTCACGTAGATAGGTTCAAAGAAAATATATATATAAGAAAATATTTTCTTTGAACCTACCTACGTGACTTTACCTAAAGACCCAAGAATATGAATTCCTGCAGTCACGAAAGCTTTGTTATGAAATGTGTTACAGTTCAACAAAAAAGGGAATCGTGTAAACTAATAAATAAGAGAATATTGTACATTTGCCTAAACAAACAGTTCCGCGGTTTCGTTCGCAAGCGCGAGTTGACGTTCGCAAGTCACGTGG